TGCCTGCCTGCCTGCCTGCCTGCCTGCCTGCCTGCCTGCCTGCCTGCCTGCCTGCCTGCCTGCCTGCCTGCCTGCCTGCCTGCCTGCGTGCCTGCGTGCCTGCGTGCCTGCGTGCCTGCCTGCCTGCCTGCCTGCCTGCCTGCCTGCCTGCCTGCCTGCCTGCCTGCCTGCCTGCGTGCCTGCGTGCCTGCGTGCCCGCGTGCCCGCGTGCCCGCGTGCCCGCGTGCCCGCGTGCCCGCGTGCCCGCGTGCCCGCGTGCCCGCGTGCCCGCGTGCCCGCGTGCCCGCGTGCCCGCGTGCCCGCGTGCGTGCGTGCGTGCGTGCGTGCGTGCGTGCGTGCGTGCGTGCGTGCGTGCGTGCGTGCGTCGTGCGTGTGGTGCGTGTGGTGCGTGTGTGCGTGCGTGCGTGCGTGCGTGCGTGCGTGCGTGTGCGTGCGCGTGCGCGTGCGTGCGCTTGTGCGTGTGCGTGTGCGTGTGCGTGTGCGTGTGCGTGTGCGTGTGCGTGTGCGTGTGCGTGTGCGTGTGCGTGTGCGTGTGCGTGTGCGTGTGCGTGTGCGTGTGCGTGTGCGTGTGCGTGTGCGTGTGCGTGTGCGTGTGCGTGTGCGTGTGCGCGTGCGTGCGTGCGTGCGCGTGTGCGTGTGCGTGTGCGTGTGCGTGTGCGTGTGCGTGTGCGTGTGCGTGCGCGTGCGCGTGTGCGTGTGCGTGTGCGTGTGCGTGCGCGTGCGTGTGCGCGTGTGCGCGCGTGCGTGCGCGTGCGCGTGCGCGTGCGTGCGCGTGCGCGTGCGCGTGCGCGTGCGCGTGCGCGTGCGCGTGCGCGTGCGCGTGCGCGTGCGCGTGCGCGTGCGCGTGCGCGCGCGCGCGTGCGTGCGTGCGTTCGTGTGTGCGTGCGTGCGTGCGTGCGTGTGTGCGTGTGTGTATTTATCTGTGTGCTTGTTGTGGGCCCCTCCTGTGCCCCATCCACCCCTCCCCCACTCGCGGCGCACGGCGGCGACGACGCCGCCCCGTGCGCCCGCCGCGCGGTGCCGAGGCCGCGGGCGCCGACGCGCAGCGCCCGCGCAGCAAGCGGGGCAGGGGCGGCGGAGTGCCTCCCGAGGGGCCTCCGAGGCGCCGCTGCCGACGGCGACGACGGCGGCGGCGACGGCAACGGCGGCGACGACGACGACGGCAGCGACGACGACGACGACGACGACGACGGCGGCGGCGGCGGCGGCGGCGACGACGAAGACGACGGTTTATGCGACGGCGGCGGCGCTGACGACGACGACGACCGCTCGCGCTCTACCTTGGCACACTGCTCGCTGCTCGCCGCTGCTCGCTGCCGGGGTTCGCGCGCGCGGCACCGCGGCCTCCGCTTGAGGCCCTGCTGCTCGACCGCCGAGAAGACGGGTCCCGAAGGGACGAGCTGGAGCGGCGGCCCAGGAGAGGGGACCAGTCCCCGGGGAGCCCCCAGGGGTCCAGGACCCGCTCTCCTCGGCACCCTGCTCTCTCGGGTCGGACGGCACGGGGCGGGATTGGGAGACGGGTCCTGAAGGGACGAGCTGGAGCGGCGGCCCAGGAGGAGGGACCAGTCCCGGGGGGGCCCCCAGGGGCCCAGGGCCTGTTCTCCTCGGCACCCTTCTTCTCTCGGGTCGGACGGCACGGGGCGGGACTGGGAGAGGGGGGGGGGGTTCGAAGTCTGCGTGCAGCTGGTCTTGGCCCCGCCGCCAGGCGCTTCCTGTGAAGCATGGCGCCTCTGGCGCGGGAGGTGACGTGGCAATCCGCTACGTGAGCTGATTCGCTAACCCGCCCTTCACTACCTAACCCCCCTTCTCGTCTGGCCCGACCTTCCATCTTGACAAGCTGCCGTCACGTTGCATGCAAGGTCTTTGGACGGGCCTCCGAGTCGCGCGGCGGGCGCGCGCGCGCGCCTGCGCGCCGGGCCCGAACGCCTTAGCATAGCGGAAAAAAATACGACCGTATTGCATGACTTGTGCCATGTTTGTTACAAGACACCAGATGTCATACCATTGTCGGTCCCCGGGACCATCCGAAAAGGACCCGCGAGGAAAATGGAGCCCTGAAGGGTGGGTTATGAGAAGCGCTAGGAAGATCAGGTACGGGCGTTCAGGACAACCCCATTTCGGGAGGGGTATTCGCGTGCTCTTCATGTCTGGGCTTTCCGCCGCATGGTTCGGCGAGGCATGACCCCGAGACGGGGAGATGCTGGCGTCGCGGGGAGGCGAACAGACAAAGCTCTCCCTCCCCCTCCCCCGTCCTCCTCCCCTCCTCCTCCTCCTCCTCCTCCTCCTCCTCCTCCTCCTCCTCCTCGTCCTCCTCCTCCTCCCTCCTCCTCCTCCTCCTCCTCCTCCTCCTCCTCCTCCTCCTCCTCCTCCTCCTCCTCCCCCATTCTCCTCCACCCCCCCCTACCCCATCCTCCTCCTCGTCCCCCCTCGCCACGGCGCCACCGCTCCGTTCCTACAGGGACCGCGCCCGGCCTCGGGCGTCGAGCATTTGGGGGCGAAACGACAAATGGGGGGGGGAAGGTGCACCTTTTGTGCCCTCAAGGGGCCCCCCTGAGGGGCCCTGGGACCCCAAAGAGGCAAACGAGAGGTCCACGTTCCCCCCCCCCCCACCCCGAGTTACAGTCGGGGCCCTGAAGAAGGAACCCTTTTTTTGTTGGGGAGGGGCTCGGTGTTCCTTGATTGTTTCACAGCTTGCCTCAGGTTTTCCTTGTGTTTTCGATGGGAAATCGAAGTTTAACTTATGGAAAAAAGGGGCCTCGTTCCTTATTTTGGGTTCCTTAGGTCAAGGCCCCGACCGTATCGCCCCCCCACTCGTGAACGCCCGACGTCCGCGTCCGTCCCCGGCCTCATCCCCCCCGCCCCTCTGGCCACGCCCTCCCGTCGGGCAGCCTCCGGAGGAATCCTCCGTGGGAATCCTTAGGAACCCCAGCAGTGGCCGCCGCGGATTTCTTCAAGATCCTGAGAAATCCTGAGAAAGATCTCCTGAGAAGTTCTTCAAGATCCTGGGAAGCGGAATCCTGGGGAGTTCTTCAAGATCCTGAGAAATCCGTGGGGTTCCTAAGGATTCCTCCGCCCCTCCCGCCGGGCAGCCTCCGGCACAGGCAGCAGCAGCAGCAGCAGCGCGCGGGGGAGCCGGCAGGCGGCGCCCGCGCGGGGCGTCGCGGGAGGGGAGGGGGCGCGGAGTGCCCCAGAGCAGAGCGGCGCTGCAGAGTTTGCTCGCGCCCAGATTGAGCATGTCTTTGAGCAGGGGGAGGAGGAGGAGGAGGAGGAGGAGGAGGAGGAGGAGGAGGAGGAGGAGGAAGAGAAGAAGGGAGGAGGAGGAGGAGGAGGAGGAGGAGAAAGAAGGGAGGAGGAGGAGGAGGAGGAGGAGGAGGAGGAGGAGGAGGAGGAGGATATACAACAGTGGCGGATTGCGCAGCCTCAGGGATAGTTGGTCCGTGTGTTCGGGGTGGGTTTGATTCAGCGGCGAGCGAGGGGGGGAGGTGAGCAGGAGAAGGCTTTCTCCGGCCTCCTGATAGGTTTTCTGTGTCGTGTGTTCGGGGAAGGCTTAGACAACCTCTAAGAAGGCTCGAGGACGTCCGAGCCTTCTGAGATAACCTTTTCCTTCTCACTTCCCCACCCTTGCTCGCTACCGATTGATGATCGCACCTCCTGCATTGGTACCTGGGTGTCCTGTCTGAAGGGCGACGCCCAGAAGGCCGCTTGACTGGCGGCCACTAGTTACTTGGCTGATCTGTTCGAACAATGGTGTGAAGTTCCACAGTGAATGGATGCCTTATCGATATGATAAGCTAAAGAGGTGAAAGGGATTGTGTGTCCGTTGATGTGAAGAGCGTGAGTAAGGGTGCCCCATGGGGCAGAATTTGTCCCCCCAGGGGGTCGCGCGCGCGGTTTTGATGAGCAAGTGGAGTTACGGATGTTGTTCTGACAAGCAGGTGGAGTGAGGGGGGTTTCTCATGGTGATGCGGGTGCCGGAGGGGCAGGATTTGACCGCCCAAGTGGGGCGCAATTTTCTAGAACCAAAGCGCGCGTGCGGTTCTGAGAAGCAAGCGGAGCCACGGGGAGTTGCATTGACCGCGCTGGGGTCTCAAGTGAAGGGCGGGGGCGAGCAGAAAGACAGAACGGGAGGGCAAACGGTTAGGAGGAAGGTATACGATAAGGGCATCATGAATAGTTGCGGCACTATTTGGATGGGAGGGTGAGCCGACCAACGCGAAAAGGGGAGGAGGGCAACGAAGAGGAAGGAGGACAGTGGCACAAGAGAGTGGCACGCGGCGGGGTGACTGAATTGCGAGCCTGGGCGGAGAAAGGGGGCGAACACACTGGATGTTGGGAGAGGAATATGAAGGGCTGGTTCAGAAAAGTTTGCCAGGGTCTGAAACAGAGGGCGGGGACGGTAAGGAGGGCAGAACGGGTGGGTAGCCGGGAAGATGAGCGACAGTGAATTGAAGTGGGGCGACTCGGAGGCAGCGGTGCGTGGGGTAGCCAGGATTCAATCAGGATGGCGCAAGGGCAGGTGGGGTGAGAAACCGTAATGGTTGTGAGAGTTGGGGCCAGGGTCGATGAGAGACTTGGCAGCAAGCAGAAGGATGGGGTATCGTGACGAGCATCTAGTAAGCGGAACTGTTCGGGGCCTCGTGCGATGGGAGAGCAAGGTGAGGTGGTGGGCCACCCGACGCGACGCACGAGGGGAGGATCGACAGGGGGAGAGGAGGCGAGAGACGACCAAGCAGGGCAGGGAGAATCGGTTGGAAGCCGGCTGCACCATGATGGAGGCGGTCGTGCTGCGAGAGGTGGCGAAGGTAAGTTACTTGGCAGCCGCAAGATGGCAGCGTTCTGAGAGGTGCGAGCAGCAGCGATTGCGGCGAGGTGGCGCGACGCGGGGTGGCAGTTGCAAGCTTATGCACTCTTGTGCAGTGCGAGCGGCACGTGGTTCTGAAGGGTTCTGGGGAGCCGTGACGGGGGGAGGATGACGAGCATGAGCAGCACGAGCAGGAGATCGATGAGGAGGAGCGCCAGAGAAGGTGTCAGGTATTCTGTGGTGGTATGCGGCTCGAGGGGGCTACTGATGGGTGTGCAGGGTTTCTACTAATGAGGTGGAGGCGGTGGAGGAGGACAAGGAACCCAAGCATAAGGATAGGGAGGATGCATGATGGGGATGAGGAGGGGAACGAGGAGGATCAGGAGCGTGAAGTTTGGGAGCTTACAGTGTGTTTGGCTGCTTTTGTTCATGGGGGGGTTCGAGCGGGCAAGGAAGAGAAAGAGGGGGAGGGGGAGGAGGATTAAGAGCATGAGCATGAGCATGAATGCTATAGGAGCTCCGATCTCTGGTGAAGCCTGGCCTGCATCAAAATGCACTAAACTACTGCGCTACACTGACCATGGACAAGAGAATTGCAATGCAAAGCTCCAGCGTGGCGTGAATGCCAGATTCGTCATGGCCAGGGACGCTGGCGGCACACTGTCCGCTCAAGGCCTGAGGAGCAAACCGTGTCGGCACGCAGCCTGAGACCGTCCCTCCTGGCACCACCAACAAATTGTTTGTGCCCTTTCCTTCCACTGCCACTGCACGCCGGTCGTTGAAAGTAGGTATTCTTGGACTTCCAGATCCCAATCTACTTCAAGCGCCTTCCTACTTCAAGAATCGACATGATTTTGCTGTGTTTTGCTGTTCTCTGGGAGGGCCTGGACCCAATCCACTTCATCCGTCTTCCTACTTCATGTTTCTACGTGCTTCTTCCGACCGACGTGTACCTTTCGTTCGAGGCATTCTGGGGATCTCAGCCAGGGGCCCACCCCACCTAGCTACAGTTCCTCTGCCTCCGCCATCCACGATTTCAGCTATACCGTCACAGTGTCGGCCAGGGCCTGGAGCCACCGTGAGTGCCGAGCGATGGTGGTGATTATGATGATGTTGATGCTGATGATGGTGATGATGATGATGGTGATGATGCTGGTGATGATGATGATGCTGATGATGATGCTGATGCTGATGATGATGATGATGATGAGGAAGCTAAGGATGGTGATGAGGATGATGACGATGATTACGATGACGAGGAGGATGATGCTGATGACGATAGTGATGATGATGATGATGATGATGATGGTGGTACTGTTGTTGGTGGTGATGATGGCTCGATGACGACGATGATGCCGATGGTGGTTATGATGACGATTATGATGTTGATGTTGGTTTTGATGGTGATGATAATACTGATGGCGATGATGATGTTGTTGTTGATGATGATGAGAATTGTTATTAGCATGGCGATCAGTATGATTCGTACTACGCTGGTGATGCTGATGATTACGACGATGCTGATACTGATAATGATGAGTATGATGATGGTTATGACAATGGTGCTGCTGATGATGATGTTGACGATGCTGATGATGATGCTGATTATGATGACGATGATGATGATAATGCTGGTGCTGCTCATGATGATGTTGCTGATGCTGATGCTGATGATGATGATGATGATGATGATGATGATGATGATGATGATGGTTATGATGTCGTCATCTTCGCCGCCACCACGGCAGCCATCGTCGTCGGCGGCGGCCTCGTCGTCGACGACGACGTTGTCGTCTTTGCCGTCGTCGTCGTCGCCGTCGTCGTCGTCGGCGGCGGCGTCGTCGTCGTCGGCGTCGCCACAGCCGCCGCCGTCGGCGTCGCCGCCGTCGGCGTCGTCGTCTTCGCCGCCGTCGTCGTCGTCGTCGGCGTCGCTGCCGTCGTTGTCGTCGTCGTCTTCGCCGCCGTCGTCGTCGTCGTCGTCGGCGTCGCCGCCGCCGCCAACGTGACCGCTGTCGTCATCGTCGTCGGCGTCGGCGCCGCCGCGGGGCCTTACGATAGTGGGGAAGGGAATTCGAGCCCACATCTCCAGGCCTCCGCCTCAAGAGGACCCAGAAGATCGTCATCAGGCCCCCAAGGACCTCCCCGAGAGGACCCAAGAGGGCCCCAAAACGCCCCAAGACAACTCCAAGAGAACCCCCAAAGAGAGCCCGAAGAGAAACATCGCCGCCCCATTCCTTGAGGACAGCGCGCATTTGTAGCACACTCGCTGTTTCCGTGCGCGCAGCATCCAAGACGGCCCCAGAGGCCCCCAGCAGAACCCCCAAACAGCCCAAGAGGTCCCCACAGGGCTCCAAGACGGCCCAAGAGGACCCCAAGACGGCCCAAGAGGCACCCGGGCCAGCCCTGGACGGCCCCTAGAGGGCCTCGAGAGGGCCCCGAGAGGGGCCTTGGGGGGGAGGTCTCGAGCAGACATGTCGAGGCCTCCGCCCCAAGGGGACCCCGATGATCGCCAGCAGGCCCCCAAGGATCCCCCCAAGAGGGCGTCACTGGGCCCAGCGGCCGCACCAGCCCCGCCGGCCGACCCTGGGGGATCCTTGGCTGGCCAGAGGCGGCCCCCGGGGGGGGAGAGCGCCCCCCCCCCCCTCCCGCGCAGCAGGCGAGAGCTGGCCGACAGCGGCCCACGGAGCCCGCGCACCGATGAGCGGGGGCCATGTCCTCGGCGGCGCCAGCCTCGCGGCCGGGTGGGGCCATGTGCGGGCGGCCCGCGGCGGGTCCCGAGGCGCCGGCGGTCGCGGAGGCGCGGGTGCCCGTCGTTGACGAGAGCCCCGCCGCTGGGGCGGCCGCTCGCGGCAGCCAGCCGTCCGCAGGGCCTGCGGGCGCTCAGGACTGCCCGTCGGAGGCGCCCTCGTCTCTGGCGGTCAACATCTGCGAGTCAGAGTTCGTGTCCTCTCCCGGCAGCGTCGATTCGGTTTCCACGGGCCGCAGCGTAACGAACGCGAGCAGCACATTGGCCTCGAGCGTCTCGGACGGCCGCAGGATTGGGCACGGAATAACCGACGAGCAGTTGATGGAGCTGGTTCCGAGGAGCGTTGATGGCAATGTGATGTCGTTGGGCAGCATGGGGCACGAGATCGGCAGATGCAACGCCCCTTGCGTGTACGCCCAGACTCCGAATGTTCGGTGCCCGTCGGGGCTGCGATGCAACTTCTGCCACTTCCCTCACGCGCCGGGCCGCAATCCCGCCAGATTGCCCAGGAGATTGCCCGAGAGCTCGCCGGACGGTGCTTCCGCGGCGACACTGTCGTCCTAGCCTCGAAGAACGGCGGAGTGATGTTCATGGGCCACGTCTCAGACAAAGCCTGGCCCAGCGTTGTTCGGCGCTACACCTGCACCCCATGGCTTGCTGGGCAGCGCTGCCCGGACCTGTTCCAGACGTGCGTGTCCATGCTGGGGGTCGGGTCGTGAGAATTGGTGAGGCGCTGGGTTGCGGCGCAAAGAGCGCGTCGGAGTAGTCCGCCGTGGTCTCAACACCCGCCTCGTCCTGCGCGGCCTCGACTTCGGTCCGTGGTGGATGAAATACCGTTGCCTTTGTATAGACGTTTGTGACGCTGCGTTTTGGGATTTTGACCGTAGGGAGGCTAAGGGGATCAATGGGCGATTCAGGGAAATCACGGCGGGCTTGCGGCTGAAAGCGCCAGCGTGTGTGTTCTAATTGCGCGAAGTTGTTCCAGAATTGCAGTCGGTGTTCAGTATTGAACTGAACTTTGTCATGCCATGCGGAGTTTCACTAGACCGCAGACATCAGCAGCCACAGCGTGAATGTGGAGGTGACGTTAGGCGGTCGCTTGCCGCACGTCGGCGCATCGCCAATGAGAATACTCGTTAGCCCCATCATATATAATATCAAAAGTACTTCCAAGAAACCGATAGGAGCCCTCCAAGAGACGATAAACCATATTTGTTATTGTAGTTGCTGACAAGAGTTTGTGGTTTTTGCCTGTTCTCTTTCCTGAGAGCCCCAGACGACCGAAGAAGCCATGAATGTCTTGGGGCCATAGTCTGCCCTGTGCCCTTGCGCGACTTCAGTGCTTCACACGGCTAACGACTCGCAGCCAACAGCTTGGACCTGCCCGGTGAGATGGGTAGCCATATGTCTGGTTTTTGTCACGGTTTGGTGCAGCCACCTGGAATTACAGAAGAGTGGCATTTGGCCCTTCTACGATCGGCGCTGGAGTTCCCAGCTGGCATTGTGCGGCAATTGAGGAGGAACGGGGCCGGCCGAGACCACTGTAGAAATTCGGTATCAGGTCCACCGTCTCGCGAGGTCCCCCCTTTCCTCATCCTCACCACTTTTCCTCCCCCTTCCTCCCCCTCGTCCTCCTCCTCCTCCTCCTCCTCCTCCTCCTCCTCCTCCTCCTCATCATCATCATCATCATCATCATCATCATCATCATCATCGTCATCATGACCATCATCATCATCATCATCAGCAGCAGCATCATCATCAGCATCAGCATCAGCATCAGCATCAGCATCAGCATCAGCATCAGCATCAGCATCATCCCCTCCCCTCCTCCTCCTCCTCCCCTCCTCCCCTCCTCCTCCTCCTCCTCCTCCTCCTCCTCCTCCTCCTCCTCCTCCTCCTCCTCCTCCTCCTCTTCCTCCTCCTCCTCCTCATCCTCCTCCTCCTCCTCCTCCTCCTCCTCCTCCTCCTCGTCCTCCCCCTGGTCCTCCTCCTCCCCTCGTCCCTCCTCCTCCTCCTCCTCCTCCTACTACTCCTCCTCCTCCTCCTCCTCCTCCTCCTCCTTCTCCTCCTCCTCCTCCTCCCCCTCCTCCCCCCCCTCCTCGTCGACCTCTTCTTTCTCCACCACCTCCTCCTCCTCCTCCTCCTTCTTCTTCCCCCTCCTCGCCGCCGTGAGGGGCCAGCGGAGAGCGGCAGCGGTGTCGGCTGCCTGCTTCTTTTTTTTTTTTTTTCTCTCTCTCTCTCTCTCTCTCTCTCTCTCTCACCCGGCTCTCCTCTGCGATAGGGGCCCTCCCGGCCGCGGGCGCCAGGCGCGGCGGGCGAGAGTTGGACCCCCAACAGCGGGTCCGTGATCTTTCTTCGGTGGCGAGCGAGGGGATCAAGCAGTGGCGAAGCGTCCTGGCTCGCCGAGTGGCCTCCCAAGAGTGTTCTGAGAGCCTTTCGTGGTCTGCACGGAATGTTCTTAGAGCATTTCTGGCCGGGGTGTGTCTTGTTGTAGCACATCGGTTTAATGTTCTACGAACAGTGTCTTTGTTCTAAGAACATTTTTGAGTTCTAAGAACATGTCGTGGTAGGCCTATAGAAATGCCGGGAAGGTCGGTCCCTGCTCAAGGGGAGGAACTTCGAGGTTCGAACTTCAAGGTTTTTTGGTTCGAGGCCTTTGGGGGCCGTTTTCGGGCCCCAGGACCAGCGAAGCGCGATCCCCCTTCGATGGCGGGCGAGAAGGGAAATCAGAAGGAGAAGGCTCGAACTTCGAGGTTCCAAGTTTTCGGACGTTGTCGAAGTTTCTCGGCGATCTTTCGCCCTCGAGGTGCGTTCCAGCAGCTGCGCCTCGCCGAGAGCGTTCTAGGGGTGCCGGGATCGTCCCGAACGGCCGCAGGAAACCTGAGGTATGACCCAGAAACCACATTCGGCGGCGCGCCCGGGGGGAAGTGAAAAGGAGAAGGCCTTCTCAGAAGGCGGCGGGACTTATCAGAAGCCCTCGCGCCTTCTGAGAAGTGTTCCGTGTCTTCGGGGAAGGCTTCAGAACACTTTTCAGAAGGCCTGGGGATTTCCGAGTCTTCTGAGAAGGCCCACCTCTTCCAATTTCCCCCCCACGCTCGCCGCTAATCTCTGTGCACCCGTCTCCTCCCCCTTGGCACTCGCAGTCGTCGGCCGAGTTTTTGAAACGTGTGCTTCGGCAGACGCCTCTTTGGCCCGGGCCTGCTGGCAGACGATGGCCTTCGCCAGCTGCCCGTCGCGTTGCCTGACGTGCCATATCAGATAGCTCAAGTCATACTTACTTGAGTTAACACTGTGTGGCTACATTTTTTGCACCTGTCCCGCGCCGCGGTGCCCTGGTCTATCTGCGCCCGCTTCACTTCCGCTCAGAAAAAAAAGGCCCCCCAAGAGGACCCAATAGGCCCAAAAGAGGCCCGATGGAGGCCCCGAAAGGCTCCCCAAGAGGCTTCAAAACTGCCTCCACGAGGCTGCCCAGAGGCTTCCCCAGAGACCCGACCAGATAGTTCAAGAGGCCTCAGGCGACCCCCGTGGAGACTACAAAATACATCTTGCACGCTTCAAATCGAATATACAGGTATGCACCCTCCCCTCACTACTCATCATCCTCTTTCTCCTCCTCCCCCTCCCACTCCTCGTCATCCTCCTCATCTTCTCTCATCTTAACGCCTCCGCCAAACCCCCAACCGACGGTCCGTGAGGTCGCCGCCGCCGCCGTCGTCGTCTTCGACGTCGTCGTCGTCATCGTCGTCGGCGTCGCCGCCGCGGGCGTTGCCGGCGTCGTCGTCATCGTCGTCGCCGCCGTCGGCGTCGCCGTCGTCGTCATCGTCGCCGCCGCCGTCGTCGTCATCGTCGTCGTCGCCGTCGTCGTCGTCGTTGTCGTTGTCGTTGTCGTCGTCATCGTCGTCGTCGACGTCGCCGTCATCGTCGGCTCGTCGTCGGCGGCGTCGCCCACGCAGGCGCAATTATTGGCCGCCGTCGTCGTCGTCATCGTCGGCGCCCCCGCCGCCGTCGTCGTCGTCGCCGTCGTTGTCGTCGTCGGCGGCGTGATTCTGTCCGCCCTCGTCGCTCTCGCCGCCACCGCCGTCGGCATCGGCGGCGGGCGCCGCCCCGCTCAGGCGGCGCGGCGGGCCCGAAGAAGCGGCGGAGGCCGCCGCGGCGCAGGGAGGGCGCCGCCGCCGGCGCGGGCCCCGGGGCGGGCGAGGCGGGCGCCGCGCGCCTTCCGCGGCACCATCCGCGTCGCCACTGGGGGAGCGGGTCGCCGTGAAGCAAGCGTCGGCGGCGCGCCGAGGGGGGAGGCAAGACGCCTATCGTCAAGTCGGGCCTGTCCCGCTGCAGGAGGAATGTGCAGAAGTAGGCAAAACATAGTCTGGGGACGATTTAACAAAAAAACAACATGTTTGACCATTTGGGGGGTATTGTTCGACAAATCCTTTTTCTCTTTCGCCCACAATCCACCCGTGGGGGGGGACACGCCCGGCTCAAGCCTTTTAAAAACTATGTTTGACCATTTGGGGGGCATTGTCTGACAATCCTGTTTCTCTTTCGCCCAAAATCCCTCCGTAGGGGGGGGGACACGCCCGACTCGAGCCTGTCGGTTGGAGGTTCGGGCTGCTTTTGGGCGTGCTCGTCGGTCCTCCGCGAGTTTCTGCCGGCCTCGGGCTGCTTCACTGGAGCCGAAGTGGAGAAAACTGCACAACCGTGAACTTTCGGAGCCCCGCGCGGATTTTCTCGGCTCGAGCCCCCGAGCAGCGCGTCCAGGAGGAGGAAGTAAGAAGTGGACGGGGGGAAGAGGCAGCAGGACAAGAGGATACACAATGTTCGGAGAAGGAGGAGGAGGAGGAGGTGATTTAGTAGAGAAAAGAGACAGCGAGCCCCACCCTCCCCCTCAGAAATCGTGGGGGGTAGGGGTAGGGTTCGCGTCTGGCCCCCCTAGGGAAGCAGCCCGAGGCCGGCAGAAACCGCCGAGGACCGACGAGCACGCCCAAAAGCAGCCCGAACCTCCAACCGATGGGCTCGAGTCGGGCGTGCCCCCCCCCCCCCCCCTATACGGGGGGATTGTGGTGAGGTGAATTAGTGGAGAAAAGAGAAAGCGAACCCCACCCTCCCCCTCAGAAATCGTGGCGGGTAGGGGCAGGGTTCGCATCTGGCCCCCTAGGGAAGCAGCCCGAGGCCAGCAGACACCGCCGAGGGAAGCAGCCCGAACCTCCAACCGATAGGCTCGAGTCGGGCGTGCCCCCCCCCCCCCCCCTTTATACGGGGGCATTGTGGGGAGGTGAATCAGTGGAGAAAAAAGACAGCGAGCCCCACCCTCCCCCTCAGAAATCGCGGGGGGGTCAGGGGTGGGGTTCGCATCGGGCCCCCTAGGGAACCTCCAGCCGATTGGCCCGCGTCGGGCGTGCCCCCCCCCTATACAAGAGGTTCGCGTCTGGCCCCCCTCGTTCCCCGCGGCCCGAGGCCGGCCGGCCGCCGGGGGCGTGCGCCGCGCGGGGTGCCCCCCCGGGGAGAGAGAGCGCCTTGGCGGCCGTCGGAGGCCCGCGAGCCAGGTGGCCCGAAGAACGCCAAGGGGTCCCTCAGCGCGCCGAAGGGCCAGGAGTGGAAAACAAACACACACTCCTCCTCCTCCTCCTCCTCCTCCTCCTCCTCCTCCTCCTCCTCCTCCTCCTCCTCCTCCTCCTCCTCCTCCTCCTCCTCCTCCTCCTCCTCCTCCTCCTCCTCCTCCTCCTCCTCCTCCTCCTCCTTCCCCCTCCTCTCCTCCTCCTCCTCCTCCTCCGACACAATTGATCGTCGATCCCCAGGAAAGCATGGGAAAATAGGGGAAGACAGCCACCCAGGAAAACATGGGAAAATGTGGAAACGATGGGAACATATGGCAGCACTGCCAGGCGCGCCGAGGGTGCGGGAGGGAAGAAAACACACACACACACACACACACACACAGACACAAGTCATCGTCGATGCCAGGACTCGTCGAGGGGAAAAAGACACACAGACACAATAATCGTCGAGGGGGGAAGAAAAACGCACACAAACACACAGACACAAGTCATCGTCGATGCCAGGACTCGTCGAGGGGAACAAAGACACACAGGCACAGGAATCGTCGAGGGGGGGAAAAAACACAGAGACACACAAGTCATCGTCGACACCCAGGAAAAAGCATGGGAAAATGTGGGAAGCGGGGGGAGGACAATAGCCCAGAAAATATAAGAAAAAAATATGGGGAATCTGGTTATCTGTGTCTATTTATGTGGTCGGGGGGGAAAAAGACACACAGACACAGGTCATCGTCGATGCCCAGGAAAACGCATGGGAAAAAGATGGGAAGCGGGGGGAGGACAACAACCCAGAAAGTATGGGGAAAAATGTGGGGGGAGGACAAGAATACAGAAAGTATAGGGGAAGCATGGGAAGTGGGGGGAGGACAATGACCCAGAACATGTGGGAACAAATATCAGGAATCTGAGTCTCTGTGTCTATTTGTCTGTGTGTCCCAGTGCCCCCTTCAAAGGGGGGGAAGTGACAGGGGGGGCGAGGGCGCCAGCTCGGCGAACGCGCTGTGCAGAGGCTGAGCCGAGTGCGGGCCCCGGGCTTGCCCAGGAAGGCCCTCCAGGCGTGCAGCGATGGAGCTGCCCGAGTCCCTGCGCCACCGCGTCCCCTTCTCAGAAGGTGGCGGGGCTTCTCCGAGCCAGGAGGGAAAAAGAGACACAAAGAACACACAAAGAATCGTCGACTCCCAGGGCACTAGGGGAACACATGGGAAGTGGGGGGGGGCGAGACAGAAACCCAGAAGATATGGAAACATGGGGGGATCCGGGTGATTTGTGTGTACAGTGCCGTTTTTTTATACATGCTCCGCGTGCGGATCATGTATTCAAAATGCAGGGATTTAGTGTTAAAAACAACGATGAGTTCATGCATAAATTTAGTCATGCATTAACCATGTATTAAAAACTGCCTGTATTATGTATCTGTGTGTGGGCCCCTTCTGAGAGGCCCTCCGGCCTCCGGAGGCGCGCTCCCGCGCGGCTTCGGAGGAGGCCCAGAAGCGGAGGTTGATAGAGACCTCCTATGCCCTGACGCGTCGAGTAAGGCATTGGCCGTCTTCGGTTGGCGAGAGGGCGCCGCGGCCGTCATCTCTGCGGGTCCGGGTCCGTCTGTTTCGGCCCTGGGCCGTTTTCACCAAAGGGAGGTTTTACTAAAGGGAGGTTTTACTAAAGGGAGGTTTTACGAAAGGGAATCGGCCGCTTTCGGTCCGCGAGAGGGCGCCGCGGCCTTCGTTTTTGCGGGTCCAGGTCCGTCTGTTTCGGTCCTGGGCCGTTTTCATCAAAGGGAGGGTCTACTAAAGGGAGGTTCGTCCACCGCCGACAGAAGTCCCTTTCGCAGCAGGACGAGGGCGCCCCTCCGGGCCTCCTCGGAGACGCCGAGGGCCCGCCTCGAGGGCCCTGCCCTCGAGGCTCGAGGATCGCGCCTCGAGGCTCGATCCTCGAGCCTCGGAGGCAGGGACGGCTCCCGCGATCCTCGAGGGCCCCGGAGCAGGGCGAGAGAGCCCCTCCGAGCCGCCTCGGAGACGCCGAGAGGACCCGCCCCGCGAGGGCCGCAGGGACCTCGCGCCTCGGGGCCCGAGGGGCGGGCCCCGAGGGGCCCGAGGGGGCTCGCGCCTCGGGGCTCGAGGGGGTCCCAAGGGCGCCTCGAGGGCTCGAGGGCTCCGAAGGGCGCCTCGAGGGGTCCCAAGGGCGCCTCGAGGGCTCCAAGGCTCCGAAGGGCGCCTCGAGGGGTCCCAAGGGCGCCTCGAGGGGCTCGAGGGCGCCTCGAGGGGCCGAGCGGGCGCCTCGAGGGGCTCGAGAAGGTCGAGGGGTCCTCCCGAGGATCGGGCGGCCGCCTCGAGGACCTCGAGGGCCGACGGCCTCGCCCTGCCAGGGGCCGCCGGAGCGCCCCCCCCCCCGGGGGGGGCGGGCGCGGCGGGCGCCCCGCGCCGCCGCCGCCGGGGGGGGGGGGCGCCGCCCGCCGTGGGGCGCCTCGCCCTCGAGGGCTCGGAGGGCTCGGCGAGTTCCGTCGGGCCGGTCCCTCTGCATCTCGGGGGCGGAAAAGAGGGGGGTGATGACTCGGGGGGGATGGATATCATGGCGAGGGCCATGATTTTTCCCCAGATCTCATGGCGCCTCTTCTTATTTCATTACGTCCCTCGTCCCTGGCCCCCCCGCTGGGCCGCGCACATGCCGCCGGTCATGATTTGCACCCCCCCCTCTTGGACACCCCCCTCTTGGCCGCTCCCGACCTCTGCATCGGGATCGGGAAAGCAGTCTGGTCAGCGGTGGGATCGGCCGAGTCCCTTCTCAAGTGGCTGCCCAGAGGGCCGAGCACTGGCCTGACCGATTGTGGCCCTGGAGCGTCAGGTCCACGGCCGATGGGTCGAGTCAGCGCTCGGGCGGCCCCGGTGGCACTCGATCAGTTCGCCTGCGCCCAGCGCTGATGTGGCTGATTGTCGGTTCCCTACCACAGGGGGAGTGTTCAAAAATAGTTTCAAAATATTCGGGTGACGACTTGCTGAGCAGGTTTTGGCCATTTGGGTGCACTTTTGGGGGGTATTTTCAGTTCTTCGTCCAGGATCCGCCTGTAGGGGGACACGCCCGACTTCAGCTTGGCACCTCCCCAGAGATCCAACGTGTTGAAAGAGTCAAGGCGGAGGTTTTTCGCAATGTTCGGCCTTTGGGGGCCCTCGCCAGGCCCCGGGACCGTCAAGAAACGACTCGGGATGAAAATCGGGTCACAGGGAAGTGGGTCGAGACTTCCGGGGACCCCGCATTGAAGAAATCACGACATCGGATCTCTGGGAATCTCCGCAGAAGCGGTCGGGCGGTGCTGGGACGAGGATGAATGTCCCAGGGCGTTCCGGAACGCTCTCGGAGCGTTCCGGGGCGCTCTGAGACAAGGCCGCGGCGCCCGAGACATTCTCCAGAGCCGCTGGTCGCAGAGATTCTGCACGAACGAAATTGGCACGGAAAGAATGGGTACAATGCCCAACAGCAGTCCCTGTTCATTTTGAACAGGACTCGCTGTCGGCGCCGCCGCGGCCTGTGTCCACTTGAGACAGAAGGCCGCCTGCCCAACAGCGGCCGCTGCTGGTTTGGGACAGCATTTGTTGTTGGGCATTGTACCCATGTTTTCCGTATCCATTTCGGGCGTCCAGACGAGACATTTTCCAGAGCCGTTGGGTCGCAGAGATGCTCGGTGCAGCCTCACCCGATCTTGGCCTCGTCCTGGTTTCTTCTTTTGCACCTCTTCCTCGCGGGCGGGAGGCCTCGGCGGCGAGCGAACCGGCGGAAGGCATCGGGGTCGAAGGGTTTCCGGAGGTGGCCAAGATCAGGGGTGGAAAAAAAGACACCAACAAAAAGAAACAAGCGTCGATCCCCAGGAAAATATGGGAAGTGGAGGGGAAGACGAGACTCCAGAAAGTATAGAAAAGGTTGGGAATCCCAGGATTTGTGTCTATCTGTTTGTGTGTCCCTGGGCCCCTTGACTCTTGGACGCCTCCCCTCTTGGGCGCCCCCGAGTCGAAGGAGTTGACATCTTCTCCTTGGCGGAGGCTGGCGGAAGCCGGCGGAAGCAAAAGATGCGCCCCCAAGGGATGGCAACATATTTGGGCTCAGGATTTCCTGAATGAGCGAGTCTTGAGGGATCGTCTCGTCCTGAGGGGGACCGTCTCTCAAGCAGTGGCGAAGCGTCCTGCCTCGCCTATAGCCCTACCAAACAAAAGTCTAATAACCGGTTGTGGTTTCCACGAAAGGTTCTTAGAACATTTCTGGCGGAGTCTGTCTTGGTTTATCACATCGGGTTTATGTTCTGAGAACATTGTTTGTGTTCTTAGACGGTTTGTGGGTTCTGAGAACATTTCGTGGTAGGACTACAGGAATGCCGGGACGGTCGCTCCCTGCTCAAGTCTCGAGGATCGGGGGTTGTCTCGCCATGAAGCGAGCGGGCCTTGAGGGACACGGGCTCTGAGGTTTTCCACCGCGTTGGACCCCGCGGGGCTTTCCATTGGCCCTGGGACTCACTGAAGACGACTGCGGGGGAAGGCCCCAGTGTCCCAGGACCCGCTTCTCCGGTGGCCCGCTCGCTTCATGCCAGATCGCCAGGAAAAGAAGAAGCAGCTGCGAGCATCAAGTGGCAGATGTAGGCAGGGCTGGACCTAAACGGTGTTTTGGCGATTTCGTGGGCCGTTTTCGTTTCGATTTCGTTTTGCGGTAAAGGCGGGTTGAAGACAAAACGAGGGAAAACGAAAACAAAACGAAAACGAAAAACACCGTTTAGGTTCAGCCCTGGATGTAGGAGGAAGGCCCCGGGGTCCCAGGACCCGCTTCCCCCATGACCCGCTTGCTGCATGCTCGATCGTCAGAAAAAGAAGAGGCAGCCGCGTGCATCAAGCGGCACATCTAGCGCGCGCGCGCGTAGGAAAATAAAACTGCCCCTGCGGCAGTGCTCGAGAGGAGCGTCCGCTGGCCATCTCGCTGATTTCCTGGGCCCGGGCCCGTCATTGGCCCAGGATGGGTGAGATGTTCAGTTTTGACGTCCCCTGGCTGATACTGGGTCCTGAGGAGGAGGAGGAGGAGGAGGAGGAAGAAGAGAATCATATGCCGATGCATCGAAGAAGAGAAAACGGCATACACAGAAACTTTTGGCGCTGCCCCCGGACCTCTCCTGGAGCCAGGTCTGACCAGGATGTCTAGGCGAATTGGGTCGCAGCGACGACGACACCCTGGGAGGCCCCAAATGGTGAAAACGACGGAGGGATATCTGCAGTAGAAGCAGAAAAAGCGGCATAAACATAAACTTCCAGCGCTTCGCGCAGATTTTTCTTGGATTCGCGCTGGGCCTCGTCGCTATGACCATATTGATTCGCCTAGACATGCTGGTCAGATCTGGCCCCAGGAGGGGTCCGGGGGCAGCGGTACAGTTTTCTGTTTTCCCCAGATCGAGGCGGGGAACAGGATCGAGGATCGAGGGGCGTGAAGCCTGAGGGAGATAGGGTTGGAGAGCCTCTGAGGACCTCTGTGGGAGGAGATTCTTCAATGTTGAACGGTTCACGGGCGCTCACGTCGACCATCGACGTCGTCGCAAGAGGAATTTGCCGACGCCGTCATACTGACGTTTTCGTCACATCAAGCGAATTAGAAACAGGTGGCATCACATGACGTGGTGTCACTTCGTCACCAGGCCTACCATGCTGAAACCATGCCCACGTCAAGCAAACGACGCAGAGAAGCGGGGTCGGTTGCACGGACACTGTCGCATAAGCTGCCTGCGTAAGGTCGCTCGGAAGCACCCTCGTTTCCACTGTGGCGTGCCGCGTTGGCAGGCCGCGTAAGCCGCCGCGTAAAGTCGCTATGACATCTCGCGTAGGCGTCGTGTCTTTTCGTCGCTCGCGTGACGTGGCCACTTCACCTCACGTGAGCGACGACTTCACGTGAGCAACGACGCCGTCTGTCGACACTCACGTGACGTCACGTGGCCACGTCGCGTCACGTCAGGCTGAAACCATAGTCGGCGCCGCTGCCGCAGTCGTCTGGTGGCCCTCCGCCACGCCCCCTGCCAGCGCGCAGGCCGACGGGCTGGTCCACGCTCGCAAGGGCCAGCAGGACATCGAGGCCGCCCTTCCAATCTTGCTGGGCCCCAGGCTCAGCATTGTCTCACCAGTCCCACAAGACCGCTACTTTATCCCCTGACGAGATCGGGCGTGACGGGGGGGGGGCCAGGTCGATGCGCGTCAGCGCGGCCTGGGAATGCTCAGGAATGCCTAATTTCCACACGGCGCCGGCGCGAATCGTAGTGTGACCGCGGGGTGGGAGGGGGGGCGGGGCCGGTCACGGGTGTCATCGCGAATGATCCCCGTTGGGCCATTCTATCTCGGCCCCGCCAGATCACCCGCTCAGATCGTCCACGAAGCCTATTTCCACCCTGGGGGTAAGTCGGCCAGCGGGGCCAAGGCCATGCCAGTGGGGATAGGGATCGGTTAAACGATGCTCATGGGCTTCTCCTGTGCCCGCCAGCCCGCACAAGGAGTTTGGAGATGCGGATGCATCCTTCTCTCCGACCCCCTCTCCCCCCCTCCCCCTCCTCCTACTCTTCCTTCGCATTCGCTCGCCAGGGGCCACGCTAGGATTCTTCACTGCTGGCCCAGCGGCCTTCCAGTCTCGCGTGAACGTTCTGCTATCGAGAGCTCTGCGCGCCTCCATGCTGCGTCTTCATCGAAGACGTTTACGGCGAGTCCCCGCCGCCCCCTGCCTTCTTGGAAGCGCCTATGTGGCCAGACGTTGAGGCCAGACCTGCCAAGCTATCGGGCCATGTGTTCCCCGAGTCGGTTTGGAAAGCCTTCGGGGAACACGTGGGCATCTTGAAAGTCATCTTGGCCGTCTGGAGGCCATTTTGACCCTTTCGGGCCTTCTTGGAGGACGTCTTGGAGGGGCTCTTGGGCCGTCTTGGAGGCCATCTTGAGCGTCTTGGAGACCTCTTGGGCCGTCTTGGGGGGCTCTTGGGGCCGTATCTTGGGCCTCTTGGGCAATATTTGGGGGCACTTGGGCCGTCTCGGGCCGTCGGAAGGCAGAAAAAAAGCAAGTGCCACAATCCTTCAAAAACCCATGGGAAATAAATGATATTCGCCTTTTCGGGACTTCCTGGAGACCCTCTTGGAGGCCTCTTGGGCCGTCTTGGGCCATCTTAGGGCCATGCTCGGCCGTCTTGGTGGGCTTCTGGTCCGTCTGACGCCGTCGGAAGCTGTTTGGGGGGCCTTTATGGGCCGACTTGGGGCCCTCTTGGAATGCTCCAGGGCCGTCTTGGAGGCCATCTTGGGCTACTTAAAGGCCTCCTGTGCCGTCTTGGGGGCCTTTGGGGGCAGTCTTGGGGCCCTCTTGGGCCGTTCTGGGGCCATCTTGGAGGCTTATTGGGCGATCTTTGGGAGCTCTTGGGCCGTCTCGGGCCGTCGGAAGGCCGAAAAGAAGCAAAGTCAAAATCCGTCAAAAATCTCGGGACCATCAATGTTTTTGGCCTCTTCTGGCCTTCTGGAGGCCCTCTTGGGGGCCTCTTGGGCCGTCTTGGGCCAGCTTCGAGCCAACTTCGGCCATCTTGGTGGGTTCCTGGCACGTCTGACGCCGTCGGGAGCCGTCTTGGGGGCCTCTCTGGGCCGACTTGGGGTCCTCTTGGGGCGCTTCGGGGCCGTCTTGGAGGCGATATTGGGCGTCTTGGAGGCCTCTTTGGGCCCTTTTTGGGGCCGTCTTGGGGGGCTCTTGGGCCGTCACAGGGGCCATCTTGGAGGCCTCTTGGGCGACCTTGAGGCGATCTTGGGGGTCTCTTGGGCCGTCTGGGGCCGTCGGAAAGCCGAAAAGGCGCAAATGCCAAAATCCTTCAAAACCTATGGAACATCAATGATTTTGCCTCTTCGGGCCTTCCTGGAGGACCTCTTGGAGACCTCTTGGGCCGTCTTGGAGGCCTCTTGGGGGCCTCTTTGGCCGTCTTGGGCCATCTTCAGGCTATCTTAGGCCGTCTAGAGTACATCTTGGGCCGTCTTGGAGGCATCTTGGGGCCATCTGAGCCATCTTGGAGGCCATCTTGGCCTTCTTGGAGGCATCTTGGCCGTCTTGGAGGCCATCTTGGGGCCGTCTGGGGCAGGAAAACCGTTTGCAACCACCTCTTCCGGGTGGCCGGCGGGACGTGACGAAGCCCGAGGGGGAGTTGTCTTGGAAAAAGAACCAAAACCAAACCCATATCGTTTGGCACGCCAGGCACCCCTTTGATAAATCAAAAGGGGGCGGCGGATAATGGCCTTCGGCCCATCCCGCCACCGTGCCTGGATTGTGGGTCGGGGTCCTCGTGGGTGCTTCTTGGGGCCTCTTCGGAGGACTCTCAGACCTCGGGGACAGTGTTGGGGGCTTCTCGAGGACAGTTGTGTGGCCTCTTAGGGGACCTCTTGGGGGCGTCTTGGGAGGGGGCCTCCTGGGGGCCTCTCCTGGGGGCCTCTTGGGGGCCTCTCGGGGCCCCTTGGGGCCTCATGGGTCCTCCTGGCGGCCTTTCGGGGCCGAGAGCTCGAAGTGTCCGTTCGGGTCCCCCGTCTGGGCCCCCTCTTGGAGCTGTCCCGGGGTTCCCTCGGGCCGTCCTGGAGGCGTCTCGGGCCGTCCTGGGGCCCTCTGTGGCCGTTTTGGGGGCCCTCTTCGAGGCCTCTTGCGCCGTCTTGGGGTGATATTGGGGGCGTCTTAAGCCGTCTCGGCTCGTCGGGAAGCCGAAACGGCGACAGAGCCAAAATCTGTTAAACAAAAAAAGCGCCGTTGCTCTCGAGGGTCCGTGGTTCTCGAGGGCGTTGGCCCCCGCACAGACGGAGGGCATCCTCAAGGCGCTGGGCGCCGAGGGGGCGCAGCGGAGCCACCGAAGCGGGTGCGCGGCGCTGGCTGGCGCAGCACGCATCTACACCGGCAAGTCGGCGTTGCGCGGGCAGGCGGGCTCGGCCGAGGCGTCTGGGTGGGGCGACCCCGTCTGCCTGCTCCATGGCACCAACGTGGGCGAGCTCACGGCGGCGGCGCGCGCTCTCTGCCAGGGAGCTCCTTGGGCCCGAGGGCGCCCAAGAGCGTCCAATACGGTCCGAGGCGCACCAAGGAGCACCCCAAGGCGGCTCAAGAGGGCCCCGCGAGAGCTGTTAGCGGGCCCGGGAAGACCGTCAGAGGGCGGTGCGAGATCCAAGGGAATTCCAAAACGCCGCCCGAAACAGTTTCGGGAGAGCTGCGGGACCCCGAGGACGCCTCCGAGGTGACCAAGATGGTCCCTTAGGGTCGCCCCGGATCGCTCCCCCACGCGGGTCGGAGAGTCGCCCAAGATGCCCAGATATTACCAGACCCGGCACGTTCCAGAACACGTCCAGGCCAGCCACAACTGGGGGAGCTTTGGTCCTTACCCCCCTGGGGGGCCCATCGATTTCGACACCCCTTTCGAGAGATCGTCGATGCGATGGGTTCCCCCAGGGGGGGAAGGACCACAGCTCCCCCAGTTATGGCTGGTCGGACGTCCGCCAGAAAGTGCTACCGCACGCGGGGGGAGGGGAGGAGGGACGCGGGAGGCCTGGGCAAGTGTCAGGAAAAGGATGTGGATGGGGGAAGGATGAGGAGGGAGAGGCGACAGATCGAGGGATGGTCCCAAGAACGCAGCAGCAACAGGTTGATGAGAAAATCAACGGTTCAATCACAAACGTAATGTGGGACATTGAGTAAGTAAGAAGTGGACAAGAGGATACACAATATTCGGAGTAGGAGGAGGAGGAGGAGGAGGAGGTGAATTAGTAGAGAAAAGAGTAAAAGCAGGATGAAACAGAGGTGAACGGGATTACGAACACCAATGTAGTTGCAGGTAGTGTCCCATAGTTGGTCTAGAACCTGAGCGCCCGCGAATCGCACGCGAATGTATTATGCATAGGCATCTATACACACATACATACGTGTATATATACATATATATATATATATATATATGTGTATGCATGTATGTATGTATGTATGTATGTATGTATGTATGTATGTATGTATGTATGTATGTATATGTATGTATGTATGTATGTATGTATGTATGTATGTATGTATGCATGTGTGTATGTATGTATGTATGTATGTATGTATGTATGTATGTATGTATGTATGTGTGTATGTATACATGCATGTATGTATGTATGTATGTATGTATGTATGTATGTATGTATGTATGTATATATATGTGTATGTATACACACAACAGTATGCATATAGGTGTGTGTATATATACACATACAGCTGATGCCGCAGTGCCTCCGCGGCAAACGGGCCCGACAGTATATTTCGCTCGTTGATGGTAAGTTCCAAAATATGGATCGTACTTGGGGTTCCCTACTGGGATCCAGGCGGAATTGGATTTAGATGTTGCGAGTTTGGATGGTGGGTGCTCCATGACACCCCAGTCGTCGATGCCCTGTGCCTGTCATGACTTCTGGTTGCCGCCCAGGTGCCCTATGGCTGGTGCCATCTGTTCCCAGCCCACGGTTGTCGCGATGTCTGACTGCCGCCCTGGTGCTCCCTGGCGGGTACCTTTGTGATGCCCTTGTCACCAACGGCATGCGCGCATCGAGAGTCCAAGAGCCCATTGTTTGGGGCACATGTTGGCAGTCTTTTGTTTTATTGAGCTGCTGCGTCTCAGCGGACAGACAGTGCAAGAGGAGCGGCGTGCCGGCCACCTTCATGAAACTCGCGACTTCAGGATGCGATACACACTACATGTTTCCTGGGTCGCGGGCCGACTTGCAAGACGCTCCGCGGAAGTTGCCCAAGTGAAGCAGGATCACGACACAACATACGTGCACGATCAAAGAGGCGTCACCTGCGCGGCAATGATGTTTGCGACGTTGCAGCTGCAAGCAGCACGATGTACCCGTGGCATGTGTTTCCGTTGGACATTGGCCTCAGCAATTGTAGCAGTCGGTTTCTCTGGCTACTGTGCAAGATTGGTTAGCTGCAGCAATGGCAGCCTTCTGACCATATGGGTTTACATGGGCATCGCATCGAGTCAACATTTCGATTGGTTCAAGGTCATACAACAGTTTGGGATTCTGCCCCGGAGCGATCCCTCCCTTCCCCACCACAGTGTGCCGTGCTGTGTCTGCGGTGTGTTTTCGTACTTCGTTCTCTTTCGTTCCCCCCTCTTGTATAACTGCGCAGTGCTTTGCAATGCGATGTCTGCTTGCGTAGCGACCGTAGGAGCACCATGAGCGCAGAGGTCGCCGCCTCATGCACCAGGACAGCCAGTGCACGTTCACCGCTCACTGCCAGCCGCCAGGCCCGTGCCGACAAAAATGTTTTCGTCGGCCGCGTACGTTCGGATGCATGCCTGCCACGCGGTGCTGAGAGACGCCCGCCCCGACTGGGGCCCCGCAGAAGAGCCGGTCAGGATCCTGCCAAGGCCGCGCCAGGACCCTACCACGACCTTGCTAGAACCCCACGGGGGCCCATACCACTCGGGGATGGACAGAACCCCCAACAGTGACACGTCGATTAGTGAATTGTTCGTTTTCGGTTCTCGAGAGGGCGCCGTGGCCGTTATTTTCCAGGCTTGCGCCCGCCAGGTTTGGGCCTCAGGTCGTTTTCACTAAACCACGTTTTACTAAAGGGGGGTCTGTCCATCCCCGAACCACGACCCTGACGGTCACCAGGAATCCACCCGCACCCTATCAGGACCCCCACATGGACCCTGCCAGGAGCGTTCGCGTCCGCGCATGATGGCAGCGGTCGGCCCGTGCCACGTCTTTTTGTGGTTTCCCATCCCCCGCGCTCGCCAGGCAGCCTTCGGCGACGAGAGCAGCAAAGCTCTTCTTCCCGCGGCGACGCCCCCCCCCAGCACAGCCCCGCAGCAGGAAGAAGGGGAGGGGAGGGGAGGGGAGGACCACGAGGGGAGGAGATGGAGGGCAGGAATGGGAGGGGATGGGGAGGAGAGTGAGCGGAGGGGAGGGGAGGGGAGGGGAGGAGAGTGAGCGGAGGGGAGGGGAGGGGAGGGGAGAGGATTGGAGGCGAGGGGGGGAGGACCACGAGGGCAGGATCGGGAGAGGAGGGGAGGGGCGGGGGGGGGTCGTGGAGCCTGCCTGCGGCCTGGGCCTGCCGTGGGCCGGAGGCGCCCGCCCTCGTTCCTTCGTGCGCGTTTCTCGTGGCGGCAGCGCGACGACTGTGCTCCCCTATCTCCTCCTCCTCCTCCTCCTCCTCCTCCTCCTCCTCCTCCTCCTCCTCCTCCTCCTCCTCCTCCTTCTCCTCGATCCCTCCTCTCCTCCTCCTCTCCTCCTCCTCCTCCTCCTCCTCCTCCTCCTCCTCGATCCCTCCTCTCCTCCTGCTCCTCTTCCTTCTCCTCCTTCCTCCTTCCTCCTTCCTCCTCCTCCTCCTCCTCCTCTCCTCTCCTCCTCCTCCTCCTCCTCCTCCTCCTTCCTCCTGGGGAGGCCGCGGCCGGCCTCGGAGAGCCTGACCTCGTCGGTTGCGGGGTGCGCCTCGCCCCGGCGCTCCCGCTGTTCTCTTGGTGTCTCTCTTGTGCTCTCCCTCGTGTGCAGTTCCGGCTCCTCCTCCTACTCCTGCCCTCCTCCTCCTCCTTCTCCTCCTCCTCCTCTCCTCCTCCTCCTCCTCCTCCTCCTCCTCCTCCTCCTCCTCCTCCTCCTCCTCCTCCTCCTCCTCCCCCTCCTCCTCCCTCCTCCTCCTCCTTCCTCCTGGGAGGCCGCGGCCTGCCTCGGAAACCTGACCTCATCGGTTGCGGGGTGCGCCTCGCCCCGGTGGTCCCGCTGTTCCCTTGGTGTCTCTCTTTTGCTCTCCCTCGTGTGCACTTCCGCTCCTGCTTGTTGCTGTAGCTTCGGGGGCGGAAAGAGGGGGGGGGGATATCATGGCGGGGGCCATGATATTTCCCCAGATCTCGTGGCGCCTCTTCTTGTTTCATTAGGTCCCTGGCCCCCCCACTGGCCGCGCACATGCCGCCGGTCATGATTTGCAACCCCCCCCTCTTGGACACCCCCCTCTTGGCCGCTCCCGATGGGCGGCGCGCGGTCCTTCCGCTTGCGCTCGCGAGCAAAAAAATGACTGTGCCCCCGCCCAGCGATGGTGACGGTGGTGGAGACGGGGGAACGGCTGTCATCGCAGACCCACGGGCCGACACCAACACAAGATCGGCGCCTGTGCCTCCACCGAGGGAAGACGATCCCGATCTCGGTGGTGGTGGCACTAGTCTGGCTTCCCAGGGTGACCGAAACACTGCCACCGGCACCGAGCTCTGGGATCGCGCTCCCCATGTGGAGGCAGCCCTCTGGTGTTGGTCGGAAACTGGAACATATACACTACCAGTGGCCGGCTGTTTTTCTATCCCGGGACTTGTTGAGGGTCGAGGACGACGCTGGGGTGGTGTGGTGCATATTTGTTCCCCCGATGTCCCGGGGAAACAACGAAACATGTATACACCAGGGTCCCGTCTACACCAGGACCCGCTCCCCAGTGCAGATGTCAATGCAGGGCCGGAGCCAGCGTCGGCGTACAGAGTTCGATCCCTTGGTTGGTGCCCGTTTCCAGGTCTCCAGTGTCAGTAGCTCTTCGCACGCACGCAGGACGGACAGAGAGCACGGTCGGACCTGGGCATCAGGTCGCGGTCGGTTCGGGGAGCGTGGCCTATTGTGTTCTTCGTGCCTCTTGGGTGTCATCGTGCGCCCGGGGAGGGGTGCCCTCGAATGCTCCTTCATCTCGGCCGGCGGAGGGCCCCATGTTCTTGTCAGGCGGTGGCGAAGCGTCCTGGCTCGCCTATAGCCCTACCAGACAATGGTCTCGGAACCTTTTGTGGTTTCCACGGAATGTTCTTAGAACACGTATGGTTGGAGCTGTCTTGTTTTAACACATCGGGCTGATGTTCTAAGAACCGCGATTTTGTTCTTAGAACATTTTTGGGTTCCGAGAACATGTCGTGGTAGGATAATATCGGGGCTGGACAGAACCCCCAACAGTGACACGTCGATTCGTGAATTGTCCGTTTTCGGTTCTCGAGAAGGCGCCGTGGCCGTTATTTTCCAGGATTGCGCCCGCCAGGTTTGGGCCTCAGGTCATTTTCACTAAACCACGTTTTGCTAAAGGGGGGTCTGTCCATCCCCGATAATAGGAATGCCGGGACGGACGGTCCCTGCTCAAGTCTTAGGTCCGGCCGTGCACGTAGGATTGGGCAGGAGTAGGAAGACCATTGCTGCGAGTAGCTTTCTGGACTCGTCAGGCTTGGCTGAGGCTTGTGGCGCTCGGGGTAGGAGTGGGGGCCTCCGAGCAGTCGGCCGACCCTGACGCCATGGTTCCCAAGCCCTTGTCGATCGCCTCTTGGTCAATCGTCATTTTCAAGGAAGGGAGGAGGAGGAGGAGGAGGAGGAGATCTAGGAGGATTAAGGAGGAGGTCGGGGTTACGAACATTTCTGTTTGTCCCACTCGGTCGTCTGCGAACCGTGACCGCGTCGCACTCCTAATGATCAGTCCCCCCAGAGGATCTTGGCTTTCTCGATCTACATTTGGTCGACCCTGGTCAACGCTGCCTTTCGTGTCCCAGCCTGTTCTTTATCCATGCCGTTGCCCAGTATGGTCGGACCGAGGCGTAAGAGCGAGATCGGCTCGGGGAGGGTACCCGAGTGCTCTTCGTGCTTGTGGAATGGTCTTGTGCGTCCTGGGGGAGGGTGCCCTCGAGTGTTCTTCGGTTCGGCCAGCGGAGGGTCTGGTGTTCTTGGGGGGTGTTCTTCTGTCCTAGGTCCGGCCGTATGCACCACGCTACGAATCATCCCATGCTTGCCCCTTGGACATTTGCACTGTGTATTGCAAGTGGCCGAGCCTGAGCGATCGGGGTTGAAGGGGCGTCGGCCTTCGGACTCGATCTCGCCTGCTCTCCTTGCTGGCTGCGGACTTCGCGTGCAGGGCTCCGTGCAGCCCATCCCGCAGCTTGCGCGTGCCGGCACGCCGTCTTCACCGGAGCGAGACTGTGGGCCTGGGCAGGGATGAGGCGGCCGAGGCCTCTCGCTTCCCTCCCGTGCTCCTGCAGGGGGGCGTCTGGGGATGCGTGCCCCAGCTCTTGGCGTGGGGCGGCCTGGCTGCGGTGTCGCCGCTCCGCGCGCCTCTCCGTCCTCCTGCGCTCCGCGGGGGGCGTCTGGAGGTGGGCCGGCGCGCCTGCAGCAGTGTCCGTGCTGCTCGCCATGGAGGAAGGGGGTCTCGAGGGACCTGGGCCCCAACGTTTTTGATGTGTTCCGGTCCCCCGGGCCCTCCCCGGGCCCCCGGACCGTCAACGAACGCCTCTGGATGCAAAAAGCTCGTCCCGGGGGAATACCCAGGACCCCCGATTTCCCTCAGGACTCGTTTCTTTCATGGTAAGGTGCTCTCTGCGTTTGGGGGGTGATCTTATTTCTCGGACGGGGTCAGGACGAGGATGAATCCGTTCCAGAGCGTTCCGGAACGCTCTCAAAGCGTTCCAGAACAATCTGGAAAGGCCGCGGCGCCTGAGACATCCTCCAGATCCGCCGGATCTCAGAGATTCTCGATTTATCCTCACCCGATGTTATCCTCGCCCTGGTTTCGTCTGAATTACCCCTCCATCCTGGTCAGATTCATCTATGTAGAGTGCTGGGTCATATGTGAGCGTACTCTGGGGGGCGTCCACGCTGCAAGGCAATGCGTTTGTGCATTGACCCATGCGCACACGCTGGTCGTTGAATGCCCAGATCCCAATATAATTTAGGTGCCTTCCTACTTCAAGAGTGCATTCAACGCCTTCCTACTTCATGATTCTACCTACTCTTCCGATCGATGGGCAACTAGATCTGGCAAGTTGGTACGTCGTGGTATATGAACGCTTTCGGGCTTCTCTTGACGCTTGTGCCCCAGATGTATGCGCGCATGTTGCGATCGTCGTTCTTATATTTTATCAGGTGAGCCAGCTGCACTTCATGTTGGCGCTCTCTGGGCCGTTCGAGTTCTTGTCGAAGACGCTCCATCGCCCGGTGAAGGTTGCTAGGCCTGAGCCTCTTGATAGCGCTGTTATTGGGAGCAACGTGCGGGATGCGAGCGGCGGCGCGCGATGGAGCAGAGCAAGTAACCCATCTTGTTGCGATGTCTGTTCATAGACACTGTGGCTCACTTATTCCTAATCCTCCTTCTCCTTCTCTCCCATCCCTTCCCCCTCGCCGTCCCGACCCCGATTCGGTCAAAATGTGTTCCCAGACCTTCCTCCGATTCTCGAGCTGGCGTAGTCCGTCCGTATCTCAGTTGTTGGAAGCATTCGTTTATTGCCGTCCGTTCTGCAGAGGTAGCAGTGAGCCAGACGCATGTGCCGACGACGTCCCACCGTGCGAGGTCAGCGCTCCTCCTCAGTCTGTTCGCGCGTGACTCATGTTTGAGACTCCGATCCGCAAGACTTCGGTGGCTCGTTCGACGTTCGTTTGCGGTACCCTCCCGAACAGTGTTTCCGCTGAGTCTGTTAGCCTGGTCGCTCCTGCGCTGGGCCTGTTGTGGGCGTGCTCGAGGTCGAGTCCGTGGTTGAGGTCCTTGCTGTCTTCCCCTCTTCCCGGGTCGATCCTGAGCTTCTGTAGACAGCCTATTTGCGTTGCGTGAGCGGCTCTCGGATCGGCCTGTTTGGAGCCGGGTTCCAGTCTGCGCAGATCCGGCTTAGAAGGCGACATATTGGTCATGGAGTGCGTTCCGGTCTGTTGTGGTGTCGACAGTATGGCGGCGATGACCTGGTATCGAGGTATTGACAGAGAGATCGCCAGGCAAGGAGATCGAGCAATACATCGATATCGCTAGATAGATCGCGAATCCGATCCGATGCCAATCGCAATGCGAAAGTCGCGCCCATCCCCCCCGCAGTCTCCTGATCACCCGCAGGGTGGTCGTATATCGGGGGTGGACAGAACCCCCACCCTGACGCGTCGATTAGTGAACTGTCCGTTCTCGGTTCCCGAGAGGGCGCCGCGGCCGTCATTTTCCAGGCCTGCGCCCGCCAGGATTGGCCGAGGTCGTCTTCACTAAACCACGCTGTACTACAGTCAAGACGTTGAAATGAGGAACGGTCTGGGCTCGGAAGGGGCCCGATGTTCCTGAGATTCCCCCAGTGCTGTTCCCCTTGCCCTCCTGGGGCACGGAGGCGCTTACAGGGCCAAGAAGGGGCTTCTTTCCTTATTCAGCGTTCCTTCTTTCAGCGGCCGGACTGTATTCATCCCCGACTTCGGAAGGGGCTCGATGTTCCTGAGATTCCTCCAGTGCTGTTCATTTTGCCCTCCTGGGGCACGGAGGCGCTCAGCTGACCAAGAGACTTGCCGAGGCCTCTGAGAGAGCTCAAACAACTCGGCAGCGCCAGGCCCACCCCTCAGCCCTACCCGGGACGGGGTAAGTTAGCTTTTGCAGCGTACGCCCTCTGAGTGGAGATGCGCGCCGCGAAACCCTAAGGAGAAACGTTTGGAAAATCGTCAACGCCCGCGGGCAACCCTTCCAGAACCGTCAAACAGCTTCTGGAAACCTCAGAGGGACGCCGATGACCACCAAGAATGTCTGATGATCTCTTTTGAAAACCGCCTGGAGACCTCAGAGAATTGGTGAGGACCTCGAAAATATCCCAAATCCTCCGAGGACCGCCGAGAGCCTCCGGGAACCGTTGGAGAAAAGAGTCCGCACGCATATTTGGGAACCGCCGAACCCTGGAACATCTCCCCCAGCTGATGGGAAGCCAACGGGGGCGCACGCGCTGGGGCCAACTGGGGCGCCGGCGCTCGTCGTGGTCGTCGCCGACGCCGCTGTCGCCGTCGTCGTCGCCGCCGCAGTTGTCGCCACCGTCGCCGTGGCCGTGGCCGTCGTCGCCGATGCCGTCGTCGCCGTTGCCGTGGTTGGCGTCCTCGTCGCCGCCGTCGGCGTCGCCGCGGCCCCTGCCAGGCTGCGGAGGCTGGCGGGGGGCTACGGCTGGCGCGCGCCCGCGTGGCTCCTGGCCGCGCTGCTGTGGGCGTGGTCGTTGCCCGCGGCGCGGCCGCCGCCGCGACCGCCCACCGCGCCCGCCACCGCAGGGCGGCACTCGTCGTCGTCGTCGCCGTCGTCGCCTCCCTCTCGATGTCCTCCTCCTCCTCCCCCGCGTCCTTCTCCCCCTCGTCGTCGTCGTCGTCGTCGTGGTCGTCGTCGTCCTCCTCCTCCTCCTCCTCCTCCTCCTCCTCCTCCTCCTCCTCCTCCTCCTCCTCCTCCTCCTCCTCCTCCTCCTCCTCCTCCTCTATCTCCCCCTTCTTCGAATGAGGGGGAGGAAGGGAGGAAGAGAGATGAGGGAGGTGGGGGAGGAAAGACCTCCCCATCCTCCTGTTCCTCCTTCTTGTCGTTGCTTCCCTTTCCATCCTCTCCCCTCCTGCCTCTTCCCCGCGGCTTCCACCCTGCCCACTCCTGCTCTTCACAAGCATCCACTCCCTTCCCCATTCCTCCTCCGTTCCCTCGTATGCTCCGCCCCGTTTCCCCTTTCCCTGGAGTCTGTAGCCCTTTCGGCTCCAGGTCTGGAGTGTTTCGCTCGGGAGTTGCTCGTGGGGGTCGCGGTCCAATCTGCCATAGTTGTTGTGCGCTCCCCGAGCGCAGGCTTCCACCTCCTGGCGTACGTAATGCACTGCGGTTTCAGCCCGCACGGCCCCTGCGAGCCCACACTGCAGTCAACCCGCGCAGGAAGGATGGGCAACCTTCCCAAGGGTACCCCAGATTTCGTAGTAAAAGGGAGGGGGTCTGGACCCTCCAAGACGAGCCGTTTCAGACCTTCTCTTTTGGGGGAACCCTCCAAAACGTCGTCCCCAGACCCCCCAGGCCCTCCAAGATAGCCTGGAAGAGACCCCCCCCCCGAAATGAGACCCCCCTCCCTTTTATTACGACATCTGGAGTGCCCTTGCACCCTCGCCTCCTCGGCCCATCCATGGCCGCTTTCGTGGGCCGCGCCCCGCTCGAGAAGCTTCGGAGTGGGCGTCCAGGGCCCCTGCTCCCTCACCGCGCAGCCTTCCTCTGCGGGCGGACCGTACGACGGCGCGGCCCAGCGGCCCTCCAGCGATGGCGACGCGTGCCGGAAACGCTGCGGAGGCGGAGGCGCAGGCGGGCCCCCTTGCCACAGCCGCCAGCGCCCGCACTGCTGGCCGACCTCGGCTCGCTGATCGCTGGTGACATGGGGCGGGCCCGGCGCGCTGCAGTCGGGGCCCTGAAGAAGGAACCCTTTTCGTTGGGGGGGGGCTCCGCGTTCCTTAAGTGTTTCGCAGTTTGCCTCAGGTTTTCCTTATGTTTCCGACAGGAAATCGAAGTCTAGCTAATAGAAAAAAGGGGCCTCGTTCTTTATTTTTGGGTTCCTTAGGTCAAGACCCTCACTGTACAGCCTACAGGCCTCGCACGAAAGCCATAGCCGGCACGCATGCCACGGTCACGGGTCAACGCCACTCCCCCTCCCCCCAGGATTCGAAGCTGGCAGTGGGTCTGATGAGTTCCAAGTCGACCGCAGTGTTCGCCCGCATGTGCCGACCTCGATGTTGGGGGGGGCGGGGGAGTGTCCACCAACTGCTTCCCCCTGCCGTGTGCCGCCAGCCCAGGGGCACGGCGCTCGGAGGCTGCTGCGTTCCTGCCAGCCCGTCGGCTCGCGTCCAGCAGGCCGGGCAGGGCGGCGGCGGGAACCGGGCAGCGGCCGCCGAGAGGTCAAGGAGGCCAAGCCGAAGTTGCGGTCTCGGCAGCGTGAGCTCCGCCAAAAATGGTTGAGGGCAAATCCCTGGGCACGAGGCTCTATATGATGCAATGCTAGTATTTCCAGCATGCGAAGCCGGCGAGGCGCATGGACAAGCAGGACGAGGTCGTGGAGGTTTTCGCGAGAAGGTCGCGGAGGCCGAGCGGGCGGTGGCCGTGGCGAGCAAGCTGCGCCGCCAGCTGGCGGCGGAGGTGCCGCGGCCGCAGCCTGCAGCCACTGCCAAGCCGTCCTTGGCCCGGGTGCCGCCCAGTGCCGCGGACAAGTCCACGATCCAGAAGCTCGGCGAGCTGCTCTCCTGCTCTGGTGGCTCGCAGGCCTTGGCGCCAGCGGCCCCAGGCTTGGTTGGGGGAGGTTCGCCGCCAGGCCGAGGCTGCCCACCATGCGGAGCAGCAGCGGCAGGCTGCCACAGCCCAGCCGCCTGCGGCCCCACCGGTGGCGGCTGACGGCGGCGGCGGGCAGATGGGCCCACGGGCAGCGGAGCCGGCTGCGCCAGCATTTGCCCGGCACGCCGCCGCAGATGCCTCGGCCCGCCGACGGCCCCGAGGTGCGGCGCGGCTTCCTCGGACGGGTCCACGCCGAGGCGTCGGGAGGCGGCCAAAAGTTGCACAAGGCGGCCGAGCAGGCAGCAGGTGACTTGCTCTCGCAGCTCGCCGGGAGGCCGCGCGCGTCGCAGCAGGCATGGGGTGAGCGCGCGGGCCCGAGTGGCGCTTCCCTTGCACACTGCAGCGATGAATACTGCGACGGTGAAGGGTTCCGCGCGTGGGCCCTGCCTGAGATGTCGGAGGCGACGTTCCCGTGCTGGCTCTGTCCTACCGCCCTCTTCTGCCAGGAGCGCCATCTGCCGCCGTCAGACCCTCCTTCCCTCGGCAGGCTGTCGCGGTGCGTGGGCGGCGGGGGCCGACGGAGGTTCAGCTGACGGACGAGGCTGGACAGGTGGAGTTGCGGTGGTCGCGCCGGTCAACGTGCAGGTCAAGTTCCCTTCTCTGCTGTCCTTTCCCCGAGCCCTCCCATCGACTAACTACACGTAAGAGTGACCTTTCGCCAGAGTGACCTTTGGTGCGGGCACAGTGGGGTCCCCCGATCACCGATTGCGATGCGACAGTAGCGCCTTGCGCGCCTGAGTTTGGTCCCCCCGCGGGCCCCCCAAAAGCCGCGCACCAAAGGTCACTCTTACCCAGAGGGTCACTCTTGCGTGCAGCCGATCCTAACCCTGCCCTCCGCCCCCTCGCCTCCACTCCCCACCTCCCTTCTCTCGCCCCGCTCGCTCGGAGTACGCCCATGACGGCAGGCGACCCTCAACAGCTCTCTGCTCATGTGGTCGTTTTTGTTACTCCGTGTTTTGACGATTTGGGCGCGGGCCCTTGCACCTCCTTCCCCCTCCCCCTCGCCCATGGAGTAGATCTTGGCTGTCGTTGGCGCCTGTTTCAGGCAGGTGGGATCTCCCCCACAAGCCGCACTGTTGCAAACGGTCGCATTAAGTAAAGGTCCAGAGCAAGACCCCCCCCTTCCCCCCCCCCTTGCGCCCAATGTCGAAACGCGGAATAAGAAAACGTGCACTATAGCATCTAAGGCAGCCGGCGCCGGGAGAAGCAGCTGCGTGAGCTGATTCCCAAACCCCCCCTTTGCTATCCCCCCCTTTCGCCCGACCCGAGACCCGAGACCCGATCCGGCCCGAGACCCCGCTGGCCATGTCCGACCCGAGACCCGATCCGGCCCGGGAGGTCTCCCGTGGCAGTCACACTGCACGACGCACGCGTGGCATTATGTGGACGCTATCTATTTAACAGGTCACGATCGTTACTTTACCCCGCTGGCCATATCCGACCCGAAGCCCGGTCCGGCCCGGGAGGTCTCCCGCGGAGGTCACACTGCGCGGCGCACGCGCGGCGTGATGTGCTGCGACCCACGTGGTCATTCACAGAGCATTTTCGCAGGTGGATTGACCTCCTACCCTGGCTTCCAAGGTGATCGAACTATTACCACTAACACCGAGATCTAGGATCATCTTCCCCATGTGGAGGCAACCCCCTGTGCTGGTGTTGGTGCCAATTTCCAGGCCTCCCCAAATGATGGGGGGAGGGCAGGGTGGTGTGCCGATGCAGTCGAGACGCCGAGGTAAGGAGCAGCTCCGAGGGGGATCGCCGCTGCTCCTGCCCAGAGCCCCGAGGCGCCGTGATTCTTTCGCAGCGTCGACCCCCAGAGGTCTGGACCCCTTCCCGGGGACCGGTTTTTGATCCGGAGTCGCTTTTCGACAGTCCCGAGGCCAGGGAAGGGCCCCATGATGCCGAACATATCGGAGGTGGATTGGCCTCCTACCCTGACACGTCGATTAAGGAATTGGCCGTTTTTGGTTCGCGAGAGGGCGTCACGGCCGTCATCTTTCGGGTCCAGGTCCGTCGGTTTCGGACACAGGCCGTGTTCACTAAAGGGAGGTTTACTAAAGGGAGGTTTGTCCACCGCCGACATTTCTTGATTTCATCCACTGCATCGTCGAACCCATCAACAAAAACATAAACACCAACGATTGTAACGTCCTGTCAGAGTTTCTGCGCGCGCGCCGAAGCCCAGCAAGGCCACCATCGAAGTGCGCGCGTGGAGCCGTCAATCGGCGGCCCTCCGGATAGATTCGGAGAACAATTTGGCGAGATCCTGAACAGTCAGACAAGGGGCGCATCTGATTTCCAGGGGGCATAGTTCGACTGTTCGGACGCGATGGGTCAGGATGAGTCAGGTTTTAGCACTGCTTTAAACCCGTGGGTATGGTCGCGCTCCGCCGTTGCAATGGACAACGCTATGCATTCCACGCTTAAAAATGAGTGATCTCTCCCATGCTCGGTACCGTGCCTGATCCAGCACTGGCATTGTCCCATGCGGTGTCATATGTAGAACGGACCCACGTCTTTCACTTCGGTGATCCGCCAGACCCAGCCTGGGCACGACGTTGCGCAACAAATGGTATTAGGTGGAGATGCATTCTTCGCCGTTGCGGATCCCATGAAATAATGTAATGCGGGCCACATGCGCGCGCTCGCCCACGCAATGCGCACTCATTAAGCAATCCTTTGGTCGGAGAGTTTGAATCGAGCCCTTCAGACCCATGTGAAGGAACGTTGTTGGGTGATGACAAGAGAATGTCATTCACATCCTGCCGTGCCATAATTTCTGTGCGCGCGGATGCTCATAACCGCCATGATCCATGTGCGTGCATGGGTTCATCACTTCGCACGTGGAATTGAGGGATCCAGTTCATGATGCATATTCTGCGGTCGGGCCAGCAGCCATTGTTATGATGTATTGGAGAGGCCTTGCGGCCAGAACCGCCGACACTGAACGACGACGACCACGACCACGACCACGACGACGACGACGACGACGACGACGACGACGACGACGACGACGACGACGACGACGACGACGACGGCGGCGGCGACGACGACGACGATTTTCTGATGGTCCTGGGGCCCCGGGAGTCCCGGGAGTCCGGGAGGGGTGACCTGGGAGTGGCAATTTGATCCGGGACTCCTTCCAGGACACCCCCCTTGGACACCCCTCCCCCAGGACCCCCCCCCCCGGGACCCCCCCCAGGACCCCCCCGGGGGGGCGGGGAAGGGATCAAAGAGAAGCGGCTCCTCTTCGATGCAATCTCAGCGTTCGTCATTGCTGTTACAAGGAGATGGGCTCAGGGAGAAGACGGGGAGTGGCGACGACGACGACGACGACGACGACGACGACGACGACGACGACGATGACGCCGACGACGCCGACGCCGACGGCGACGACGACGACGACAACGCGTCCTCCGCACGCCGACAGCAGGGCCGGCGGATTTGGCAAGGCTGGGATGTTCGGACGCGATGGGGTTACAGTGGGTAAGTGTTGTGACCCGGTTGGTCGGTGGATCTGATCGCGTCCCCGAACAAGCCAGACTCGACTACACATGTCTCCTCCTCCTCCTTTTCCTCCTCCTCCCCCTCCTCCTCCTCCTATTCCTCCTACTTCTCCTCTTCCTCATCCTCCTCCTCCTCCTCCTCCTACTCCTCCTACCAGAGACCAGGAGCAGAGGCCACGGGCCTCGACCACCACGGGCCACGACCAATGACCACCGGGCAGAGACCACAGGGCACGACCGGAGATCACGGGAAATGCCAGACACCGCGGGCAGAGATCACGGGCCACGGATTCGAGATCTTGCGAGGCACCTACTAGCCTTAGAAATTATACAAGGCCTTCGTAGATAAGGTGTTCAGGGAAGGAGGAAAGGAGGAGGAGGAGGAGGCGGGAGGGAAGGAACGGTGGTAGAAAGAGGGAGCAGAAGGCGCACAAGAGGAGGACCAGGACGAGGTGGACGACAAAGAGGACTTGGGACGGCGACGGCGACGGCGACGACGACAGCGGCCATCACGGCGGCGACGACAACGACGACGGCGACTGCGGCGTTGGCAGCAACGACGACGACGGCAGTGTGGTGGAGGACGATCAGTGGAGAGGAGGCATGTTGAAAAATGATTTCCAGATGTCTAAAACATGTGTTCAACATGATTAAAACATGTCTAAACAGGTTTAAAACATATTTCGAACATGTTTTACATATTGAACGCATTTTCAATTCAATGATAGGACTGTTAGGCTGTCCATTGTCGTGGCATCCACAACGGTACAGTCGGGGCCCTGAAGAAGGAACCCTTTTCGTTGGGGAGGGGCTCCGTGTTCCTTGATTGTTTCGCAGCTTGCCTCAGGTTTTCCTTAGGTTTTCGATGGGGAATCGAACTTTCACTGATGGGAAATAGGGGCCTCGTTCCTTATTTAGGGATCCTTAGGTCAACGCCCCCACTGTAGTGGCCGCGAGTGCGGCGACGGCAACGGGGGAGGAGGAGGAGGAGGAGGAGGAGGAGGAGGAGGAGGAGGAGGAGGAGGAGGAGGAGGAGGAGGAGGGAGGAGGAGGGAGGGATGCTGTGGCCACGAGTGCGGCGACGGCAACGGTAGGGCGGCGACGCTGCTGCCTCCGCGCGTGCGCTGCGGAGAGGCGTGCGCCCTGCTCGAGCTCGGCCCGCCGCCCCCGCGGAGCGCCGGCTCCGCCCCCGAGGACTCGCTCCGCGAGGAGGCGACGTCCCCGCCGCCGCCGCCGCTGTCGTCGCCACCGTCGCCGCCGCAGTCGTCACTCACCACCTACCAAACCACCCCAACCCAACCCGAAGGCCTCAATTTGCCCTGCATTTCCAGTCGGGGGGGTCGGGGAACATCGAGAAGACACATATGGAACCCGTACCCCCCCCCAACCCGAAATTCGGGTCTTCAGGTTGGGTTGGGGTGGTCTGGTAGGTAGTCAGTCACCGGCGTCGTCGCCGCCGTCGCCGCCGCCGTCGTCGCCGCAGTCGTCGCCGCCGTCGTCACCGCCGTCGCCGCCGCAGTCCTCGCCGCCGTCACCGCCGCCGTGGCCGCCGCCGTCGCTTCCGTCCTCGCCGTCGGCGGCGGCAGCGCGACGAGGAGGACACGGGGGGAGGAGGAGGGCGGAGGCAGACGGAGGAGTGAGTAGGGAGGTGGGAAGGGCGGAGCAGGAGGGGAGGAGGGAGGAGGGCGGAGAGAGGAGGGCGGACTAGGAGGGGGGAGGAAGAGATGGGAAAGGGGTGCAGCGGACGAGGAGGAGGGAAAAGGAAAGGGGGGCTAGGTGCGCTCTCGCCACATCTGACTTCCTACTCCTACCCAATCCGCCCCGCTGTGATGAATAATGTTCTATCCGCCGACTGGGGTGTCCCAGAGGACATTGGTCCACAAATCGCAGTTGCCGAGTTGCCAGTAAGGATTCATCGTTTGTCGCGCAATCGCAAGGCTTTTTTGTAAATTTGTGGGGGCGGACGCGGCGCAGGCGAGCAGGAGGAGGAAAAGGAGGAGGAGGATGTGGACGAGGAAGGGGGAGGATGACGACGAAGACGACAAAGATGATGTTGACGAAGACGACGAGAATAGCGAGAATAACGGGAGCAACGAGAACTATGACCACGACGTTGACGTTGACGTTGGCGACGACGACGACGACGACCGCCGCTCCAGCTCTCGCGAAACCCCGCTGGCCGTGTTTTTGTCTGTGTGTGTGTTTGTCTGTGTCTGTGTCTGTGTCTGTGTTTGCGCGTGTACTATGTCTCTGTGTGTGTGTGTTATGTCTGTGTGTGTGTTCTGTATGTGTATGTGTGTTGCGTCTGTGTGTGAGTGAGTGTGTGTGAGTGTGTGTGTGAGTGTGTGTGTGTGTGAGTGTGTGTGAGTGTGTGTGTTGTGTGACGTGTGTGTTGTGTGTTGTGTGTGTTTATGTGTGTGGTGTATGTGGTGTGTGTGAGGTGTGTGGGTGTGTGTGTGTGTGCTGTGCGTGTTGTGCGTGGTGTGCGTGTTGTGTGTGCGTGCTTGTGTGTTGTGTTTGGTGTGCGTGTGTGTGGTGTGTAAGGTGCGTGTGTGTGTGGTGTGCGTGTTGTGTGTTGTGTGTTGTGGTGTTGCGTGTGTTGTGTGTTGCGTGTGTTGCGTGTGTTGTGTGTTGTGTATGCTGTGTATGTTGTGTATGTTGTGTGCGGCGGGCGGGCGGGCGGGCGTGCGTGCGTGTGCGTGGGTGTGCATGGGTGTGCGTGGATGTGTGTGTGTGTGCGTGTGTGTGTGTTGTGTGTTGTGTGTGTGTGTGTGTGTGTGTTTGGGTGTTGTGTGTTGTGTGTTGTGTGTTGTGTGTGTGTGTTTGCGTGTTCGTGTGTTTGTGTGTGTGCGCCCGTACCCTTCTGCATCGAGCTCTGGCTCGAGCCCATTGCTTTCTTTCACAGTATGTCCGCCGCCCGGGGCGATGGCTCCGTCGCCGCGCGGAGGAGACTCTTCCGCCCACCGCTCCCTTGGCCGGTCTTCCCCGCCGCTGTTCAGCTGAGTGAGGACCGCGTCGCCGCCTGGCGTCCCTGCGCCCACTGCGGGGTCCACAACTGGCTGGCCTGCCCCGCCCGGTGAGCATCGAGGAAGGGCTGGTGTCGGTGTCGGTGTCGGTGTCGGTGTCGGTGTCGGTGTCGGTGTCGGTGTGGGGTTTGGGTGGGTGGGTGGGTGGGTGGGGGTGAAGGGTGGGTTGGTGTGCGAAGGGTGGGTGGGTAGGTGGTGGGTGCGTGGTGGGTGGGTGGGTGGGTGGTGGATGGGAAGGATGGAGGGAGGGATGGAGGGTGGGTGGGTGGTGGGTGGATGGGTTGGGTGGGTGGGTGGGTGGGTGGGTGGGTGGGTGTGGGTGGGTGTCAGGTCTTCACAGGACAAATCCTGCCACACGGTCACACTGGGCCAATTGTGAACGCAGCTATGAGATGTCAATCTCCACCAGTAAAGCACCACGCGTTGTTATGCCAAGCGCATCGTATTTCAAGTCGCTCGGAAGAGTTGAAAAGATATGTACTCATCACGTGCGAAGATAAGGATCCATACGCGCTCTGGTTGGCGTCGCCAGTATGTATGCGTGCTAGGTGGTTTGCTCAGTTAGGTAGGGCTGGCCACGCATGGTTGTTCGATTCGACGCCAATGGCTTTGGCGGTCGATGTGTTCAAGCATGGGAACTTCCATGGGCTACCGAGCTGCTTCCGGCCGAAACGCAGCCCCGTTACTCACGCTGCCGTGTATGCACCCGACTGGAAAGCGGAAGGGTTGGTCAGCATTCCCCGATCTGTATTTGAATAACCAGTTGGGCCAGTCTATACACACGTGTTCCGAACAAGGCCACGCGTGCATGAGGAGCATATGTTCGTTTGCGCGGATGGCGTCTAAGAACACATGGCGCTTGTTCGGCAAACCTTTCAATTTTGTCGTTCGTTATGTCTTCGATGGGGGTTGGGCATTCTCGAACTTGGAATGTGCGCCGGCGGAGCTATCGCAGGCGATTTCTCGCCTCGAGCCCGCAGGCCGCCTTCATGATGCAGCTCCGTTCTCATGTCGCCGATGCGGGTCTTCGCTTTCGTCCCCGACAGTTGGCGTGGCCGATGCCCCTCAAGCGTTCGAGGGTCTGTCATCAGGCAGCATCGAGGATACCTTGACGTTCTTGTTCGCCCAGGCCCGCTGTCACATCACAACCGGGACGATCAGCGTCGCAAAATGCAAATTTTTCACAGTGGCTTGCGGGGGTAACCCGAAAGAAAAAAAAAGAGACCGGCACGTCATCTTTCCCAGCACGCTTGAACGCGTTGTACGATTGTATTTGCAGCTACGGTTGTATAGAGTTGGGAAGAAGATCTGGCGGCAGATATCCCGCGTACCCATTGGCGGTCCGATCAGCAATAGCATGTTCGACGCTGTCTGCATGTACCAAGAGTTCAAGTATGACCGCAGTCATCCCGCCAGGAGTTCGAAGCCTGCCGCAGGCCGCTACACCGATGATGCATTCGGGCCAGAAGGTCAAACACAGATAATCAACGATTGTGCCATCCTGCAATACTCAGATTTCACCATACACAGGGATTGGAACCGTATTTTGATCACGCATTTGCATAAGAATTTCGATGTTGCGTTCAGTGGCGATATGTCGAAAATGAAGGAAACGTCACTCGCACCTTCCACATGTATATTCGACAGCAACGTCAGATTGAGACACAGGTCTGAACTATTTGGCCGGCTGCGGAGATGGGAACTTGCGAAAGATAATCTGTTGAACATGATCATGCCCATCATTTCTGACATAGTATTGTACATCAGATTTGGGTATAATGTGAAACATATTCGTGCCTTTTGGCGTGGTGTGCCCCTTGACGAACACGTCCGCGAGAGGGTGTGGCGGCGCTTGGATGCCATTGCCTGTTCTTGCAAACGCTTGCCCCTGGGTGAAAGCCAGCAGGTGCAGAAGTTAGAACGGCCGCTCCAGATGTGCATCGGGGCGACATTGGCCGTCATGAGCGGCAGGACGTCATGCATGGGTTCGGATGTGTGTGATCCTTTGTGGGCGACCCGTCAAAGCAGCGCACCAGCTTTACCTGCGAGGGCGCTCGCGCATGCATTATGCGATCTGTTTGAATCGTTCGGGGCCAGCCGTGCGAGGCCAGGCGAGTCAAGTCTCGAGGTAGTTTTCGCGTTGACCACCCTCACCAGATTGGCCGACCTGGTGGAGCCTAGGGGACAGGATCGCCATTGCACTATTGGATTCTTCGCGTGGTTTGCCTACCCACCTCATCTGGGAGGATTTACGTATGCATGGACTGCTCACGACAAGCCAGCAAATGTGCGACGCCCGAGCCTCTGGAGAGTACCGCTCTCATCGTCCAGAGGCTGTTGTCTCACAGTCGATTCAGTATTTTCGTGTGCCGTTCGTTGCGAAGCCGATTGTATTTTCGATTTGCAACACGTTGTATGATCCGTAACCGCTATGGCTCAAAATCCGCGTGGGCCGAGTTCATTGTTAGAGCCAGTCTCTTCCGTGGGGTGCTTTGCGTAAAGTTCCGGTCCAGGCTTCACGTTGCAGGTAGGACCCAGCAGGTTTGCAACGACCCGTCGGCAGTGAACCGTGTTGCAAAAACATAAACATTAGCATAGATATCACCATTGATATTTGATCATCCATGTCATCGAGTGCTACTTGGTGTGTAGATCAGCGTTACTTCCACTCAGTGTGTGTGTGGGTGTGATGTGAGTGTGTGTGGGTGTGTGTATGTGTGTGTGTGTTGGTGTGTGTGTTTGTGTTTGTGTGTGCTTGTGTGTGCTTGTGTGTGCTTGTGTGTTTGTGTGTGTGTTTGTGTTTGTGCGTGTTTGTGTTTGTCTGTGTGTGTTTGTGTGTGTGCTTGTGTGTGCGTTGTTTTTGTGTGTGTGTGTGTTTGTGTGTGTTTGCGTGTTTGTGTGTTTGGTTGTGGTTGTGCTTGTGTGTTTTGTGTGTTTGGGGTGTGTCTGTGCGTGTTTGTCTGTGCGTCTTTGTGTTTGTGTGTGTGTTTTTGTGTTTGTGTGTGTGGGAGGGGGGGAGGGGGGGTGTTCTTGTGGTTGCGATGGCGATTGTGATTGTGGCTGTGATTGTGATTGTGTGTGCGTGTGCGTGTGCAGCCATTGGGGCCATTTCTGGCAAAAAGAGGGCGGTCCCAAGTGACCCTTGTCGCAGGGGCCGAGGGAGCTTCACTCAGCGGGTCCAGGTGGTAGCACAGGCTACCCAGCCCGGGCTTCCGAAAACCTTTCGAAGACATCCGAAACGTGCGAACGACCCGAGGGACCGCCGAGCACAATCGACAGCCGCCGAACACGCCCGACCACCTCCTCGCTCGCGCCAGGGGCGGCCGACGAGAACGGTGATGACGGTGATGACGACGAACACGACGACGCCGACGCCGCCACGGCCGACAACGACGACGACGACGACGACGACGACGACGACGACGACGACGACCTCCACTTCAGCTCTCGCGCCGGCCGCTGGCCGTGGTCGCGCTGGGGCCAGCGTTCTGGTTGGCGGCATCGCTTGCGGCCCTGGTGCTGGAGGCGCCGCATCGTGGAGGGAGAAGGGAGGATCGGCCACGCGCGCAAAGGGGGGTAGGCGGAGGGGGGAAGCCTACTCAGAAACACCCGTGCCTCTCCGAAGGCGAAGGCCTGATCCGTAGACGTGGGGCCGGCGCCTTCTCAGAAGCTGCCTCTGTCTAAGAAGCTTTCCCTTCCCTACCCCCTTGCGCGCGCCGCCAAGGAGGGACGATCTCTTCAGAGGCAACGTTAGGGTGGGATCGGCTCAGGGCGGGGGGGGGCACCGACCTCCACTCGCCTGTCCATTGCCGATAGGGGCCCGATAGCCCACCCAAGCCAGGAACGTTCGGTCTCGCGATCGGAGGACCATCGCCGATCCATCGGCGACGTCTCGCCGCCTCCAGGGCGATGCTTCCCCCAAAGAACTGGGTCCCCCCCCCCCCGACGTTCCCCCTCATCTTTCCCTCTGCGCTCCGCGAGAGGCCCCCCGGCACAGAAGTTGCGGCAGGCGGGCTCTTTCTCTTCCGCCCCACCCTCGGCATCCTCAGCCTCCCCTCCCCCACGTCCTCCTCCCTGGCCGGTTTTTGGCGCGGTGGAGTTCCCTCCCCATCAGTCTGGAGGTTGGGAGTCTTCGGGGACGAGCTCAGGTTTCTGCCATTACGGCAAGGCCAAGGCGGCTGGCTTGTACCGATCTGGGCATGTGGGGGCCTGCCTCGGTCCCCGCTGCCGTCGGAAAGCAGCCCAGGATGGAGAACCGGTCCTGGGGAAAAGGTGGAGCGTTTTGGCTGCCCACGTCTGAAACAAAGTCGTGACGTTGGAGCTGTGGGAGAAGGAGGAGGAAGAGGAGCTGGAGGAAGAGGAGCTGGAGGAAGAGGGAGAAAAAAAAAGGAGGCGGATGAGGAAGAGGGAGGAGGAGGAGGAGGATGAGAAGAGGGGGAGGAGGAGGACGACGAGGAGGAAGAGGAGGAGGAGGAGGAGCAGGAGGAGGAGGAGGTTGGGGACAGAGAGGGAGGAGGAGGAGGAGGAGGAGGAGGAGCAGGAGGAGGAGGAGGAGGAGGAGGAGGATTACGGGGTGGGCCTCTTGTGGCCTCCTGGAGGGTCCTCGCGGCCACAGGTGCATCCGTTTCGACATCCTGTCTAGAACGCGCTGGTTGAGATGTCCATGGGTCGGTTTCGAGGTCGTCGTCGACGACGTCTTTCCTCGTCATGGTCGCCGTCGTCGTCGTCGTTGTCCCAGGGGAGGAGGCGGGGGAAGGATAAAGTCGCATCCGTCCCTGCCCCGCCGAAACCCTCCATCCTCCAGCTCCTCCTCGTCCTGCTTATTTCCGTTCTTCCGATGCGTTCTGGCTCCCAGGCCCGCAACGTCTGCTCGGTCTCTCGGCTTGGATTGATCATTGGGCTCTAGGGTCATCGATTCGACCACGCATACCCTTCCCCCTTCCTGACGTCGTTTGTATTATGCGGCCATCAAGACGAGGGCCTGTGAACCTTTTTAGGACGAGGGGAGTCGCACTGTATGTAAAAAGGGCGCCAGAGGAAGATGGAGCAGAAGAGAGCAACTGACTTGCAACAAGAGCAGATCCCAGGCGTTCGAGGAAGCCCAGCCTCCGCCCGACCCACCCCAGGGTTGGAGGCGAGGGGGGCTATGCGGCCTCCAGGCGAGGGCCTGTTAACTTTTTACGACGAGGGGAGTCGCATTGTATGTAAAAAGGACGCCAGGGGAAGATGGAGCAGAAGAGAGCAACTGACTTGCAAGAGCAGATCCCAGGCGTTCGAGGAAGCCCAGCCTCCGCCCGACCCACACGACGAGGGGAGTCGCATTGTATGTAAAAAGGACGCCAGGGGAAGATGGAGCAGAAGAGAGCGACTGGCTTGCAAGAGCAGATCCCAGGCGTTCGAGGAAGCCCCGCCTCCGCCCGACCCACCCCAGGGTTGGAGGCGAGGGGGGCTAAGAAGGAGAGGCGCGCGACCGCGAACGATGTCAACATCCTCCTCCTCTTCTTCCTCCTCCTCCTCCTCCTCCTCCATGTCTTCTCCTCCTCCTCCTTTTCTCCTCCTCCTCCTCCTCAGGTGGTGGTCCTTGGCTGCCCTGTCTGTGCCCATGCCCCCATGCCCCCCCCCCCAGAGCACGCTGGGGCGCGGGCGCCAACACAGCGTCTGCTTGACAACCTGTCTGGCGCGGCAGAGCCGGGGAACCTCGGTGAGGGGGCGCGTCGGGCTGGGCGCGATCGGTTTCGCCGACGAGCCACGGGGGATTGGGTTCAACCCAGGGGCGCAGGGCCGATCGAAGGCTTATGATCGACCGGCAAGCGAGGATCCAGGACCGATCGAAGACCAAAGACCCGGGCCTGATCGAGAATTACGTAGGGGTCCAGGATCGGGGATGGGTCGAATATCGAGGAGCCAGGATCGATCGAAAGTCGAGGATCCACGCTCGAGGATCGACGAGCCAGGATCATGGATCATCAGAGCGTGAATTACCTACCCCGCTTTCGCTTCCAGGCAAAACCAAGTCATACTATACGCCTCCTCGTTTGGCATCGCTTGTTATCTCTTGGAAGCGAGGGTGGTCAAAAGCGAGGTAGGTTTGTTTGCCCCCTAGATCAGGTGGGCTCCTGGCGGCGACGAGTTTTGGACGACACGGCGATGGACCGGGGGTCAATGCGGGCCCCAGAAGTGAGAGAGTTGGCGGGGCGGGGCTGGCGATGGCGACGAGGCGTGGGGAGCCACAGCGAGGGGGCACGGGAGCAGATGGGGCCAATGACGGCCACAAGATTTGAGGGGGGACGCCGACCCAGGACCTCCCGCCGTCGTGATTGTTTGTCAACCCCTGCGTTGAGGCCCCAATTTTGGCCTGCGGAGGCCCGTTTCGGGCACCAGGATTCTGAATGGACGACCTATGATGAAAACAGGGTCCCGGGACAGGGTCGAGAGGTCTGGTGGCCACGCATCACAGAAACTACGACGCCCGAGGTCTGGGGAAGGGCATGGCACAGGGTCATGCGGGGCGAGAGGTTGCCGCGATGCGGGAGCAACGCAGGGTCGCGGAGCTGGCTGGGGCGATCGGCGTTGGCGAGTTGCGTGGGGCGGTCAGCGTCGTTGAACCGATCCCCATGCCCATCCCCATCCCGATCCCCACCATCCCACCACTGGGCATGTGCCCCTCGAAACCCGAAGGGAAGAGCCCGCATCCCCACCCGAAACCGGCCAGTGCGGCCCAGGCCACGCCGGTGGGGACAGGGATCGGTTCAACGATGCTCGGCCGGGGAGCGGGGCGGCCGGGGCGGGGGCGTGCGCCTCGGCGGGGCTTCTGGCGGCAGTGGGCGGTGGCGGGCGCGGCGCCGCAGCAGCACGCCGGGCGGGGCCCACGGCGACAACGGGGCTCGGGCGGCACATCCGTGGGGCCGAAGTCGGTGGCCGTGTCTCGGGTGGCATCTCGAGGCACCCCGCAACGGCGGCGCAGATGTGACGCCTGGGGCGCGTCTGTGCTGCCATTCGTGCTGCGAGGTCCACCTGCATGTGGATTCACGCAGGCACCTTGGGCACCTCTCTTCGGGGTGTGTCGCCCAGGTGTTCTGTCTGGGCACAAAAAAGTGACATGAGCGGAAGTACTGTCTGTTTCAGAAGGGGGAAGTCCTGGCAGCATCTCCGGACCGATGTCGCTGCTCGCAGTCCACTGGCACGCGCGGGCGTGTTTTGCCATCACCGCTCCTCCCCGTGAGCCATGGAAGGCGCTGGCTCGCGCGGCCGCCTGCTGCCCAGCCTGCAAGCGAGCACCGGACCGGCGAGGGAAGGGTGGGATGGGTTGTGATCGATTACGCGTAAGAGTGACCCTTCGCTGGAGTGACCATTGGTGCGAGCCCATTGGGCCCCCCCGATCGCCGCGCGCGATGCGATAGCAGCGGCCTGCGCGCTTGCGTTTGGCCCCCTCGCGCCCCCCAAAAGTCTCGCAGCAAATGTCACTCTTACCTAAGGTCGCTCTCGCGCGCAGCCGATTTGAGGACTCGGGAGAGGCAGGCTCGCTTCCCTCCAAGGATGCAGATCCGTGCACGTTTCGCTCCCACTGCCGTGGGCCAAGCATTACACGAGTCAGAAGAAACATCCAACCGCTTCAGCGTGTACTCAACGCGCACGCGTTTGTAGAATCATGCACGAGCATGCGTATTGATAGCAGGGTGTCACAATCAGTTACGACGTGACACGCCTTGGATCGCGTGGGTGTCTCCGCACTGCGCGGAAGCTGCTGCAACATGCCGCGCCTGCGCGCACTGGGATGTTGCCAT